CCACATGGCAAAGCAGACCTCTCCTGTCTCACCCGCTGCTCCCTTCAGCAGTGTATTTCACCAGTCTGCCTGTTCTGTTCCCTGCTCTGTCTCTGGACAATCTTCCCACCCTCCCGCACATCTGGCCTGTACCCCGGTTCTTGTATAAAAATAAATAAATCTTAAAAAAAAAAAAAAGAAAAGCAAATCAGTCTCCACAATACATCAGTGTGACTGGTCCCTATTAAAAAACTAGAAATAGGGGCTGCCTGGTGGTGCAAGGGGTTGTCTCAGCACTATGAAGCTATCTGCGGCCACTGAGGTACGAGTTGAATCCCCAGCCAGGAAGCTACCCACATGGCACAGCAGACCTCTCCTGTCTCCTCGATGTTATGACAATTTCCTAGAGAAATCAGAGGGCACTCAGAGAGGTGGAGAGAGGGAGATTTAATTGTGACACCAGTGGGATCACTCCCCAAAGGGCTCAGCACACAGGAAGAAAAATGGCAAGGTTTTATACAGTTTGTATGAGGAAACTTGCTGTCCCACCCATCATAGCATAAGCATTCCTTATTGTTTGGGAAGGGGGTTACAGGTAGTCATGGCTACCACCATTGACAAGCAGTGCAGTACACCCAGAAACTACTTCGCTTCAGCAAGCAGAATCAAAGCTGTTGACTCCTCAGCAGCAGGCTTGGGAAACTTCTGCATCACCCTCAGCAGTGGATTTCAGTAGATCCACCTGTTCTGTTCCCCGCTCTGTCTCTAATGAACCCTCTCATGCCCTGCACCCCTGGCCTACACCCCAGATCTTGTATGCATAATCTTTTTTAAAGAATTATTTATTTATACAAGCACTGGGGTACAGGCCAGAGGCACAGGAGGGTGAGAGAATTTGCCAGAGACAGAGCAGCAAGCAGAACAGGCAGTAGGACCGAAATACACTGCTGAGGGGAGCAGTGGACGAGACAGGTGAGGTCTGCCATGCCATGTGGGAATCTCCCTGGCTGGCAGCCGGGAATCGAACCCGCGCTTCAGAGGCTGCGGACCTCTTCACAGAGCTGCGCTCAACCCACTGCGCCACCAGGGAGGCTCAATAATCTTTAAAAAATTGCACTCATAGGCTGAACAACAGGCGTCTGACTCTGACATTCCAATCTCTAATTGATAACTTGACCCAACAAAAGCAGTAATAAAAATGCTACCTGAGGGAATAACAATGGTAGTGAAAATATTGGGTTCCTTCAAAAGTCAGTCTTTCCCTGCCCCCACAGCGGACGCAGAAAGGATCCCTGAGGCTCTGTAGGTCACGCCATGTTTTACCAGACACACCACTGGTTAGAGGAAGGTGACGATGCAGAGATGTGTCTGATTTTCACAGGAAAGGTGAAGGTGGAAAATGACTTTGCTTTAGAAACGTGTCGTTCAAGAACCAAGAAGTTCAAGTGCAGAGACGCCCACAATCAGCGCCAGGAGAAGGGGCCTCTGCGGGGAGGAGGCAGCGCTGGGTGATCCCCAAATCAGAAAGGTGCCTGATTGTGGCCTCCCCTGTGTCAGCCCCTCTCAGCAGGTGTCTGCAGTTGCTGCAGGACTGAAGCTCCAGGGGGTCAGGACTAGCAGCTGGAGATAGAAAGGAGGCCAAGAAGGGGCAGTGCCCAGAAATCCACACTTCTGGGTGCTCCTTATAGCATCTCTGCATCAGAAAAGAAACCCCGATTTGTGCCAGTGGCTGAGGGAATCCTAGGTCCCTTCTCTTGAGTCTGCCCCTCCACAGTCACCCCCATCCCAAGGCCCGCCCTCGCTGGGCTGCAGCCTGTGGTGCCTCCTCCCTCCTGTCCACAGCAGAGCCAGCCCCAGGCTGAGGGGAGCTCAGGACTCCAGGCTCAGTGAACTGCCTGCGCCTGCTCCTGAGGTCAGAGTGGGAGCCCCTGGGAGGGCGGCCTGGCTGCTGCTCCCTCCAGCCTGGGAGGCTGCAGGCTAAGAGCCTCTTCCCTGGCTTTCAGCCTCTCCTCACACTGGGGGTGCACACAGGCTCTGAGCATCCCACATCCCTTCTGTCCCATCCAGCCCAGCTGTCAGTGTTGCTCCCACAACAGCACAGCCCCCATTCCCTGTTCGCCTCTGCTCAAGACAGGGCACCTGGCTGGGGGCCTGGGGTCTGCGGGAGGCTGGCTGCCAGGTGATGGCACAGAGCTGAGCAAGGTTCCCTGAGGTTCCTCAGAGTTAGGGCCCTTCTCACCTGCTCCGCCACCATCTCTGCTGTCCCTCCCACCACCTGCACCAGCCAAGCTGCTGTCTGCAGGGCTGCAGCCTGAACTCGAGAAAGTTGAGTCTGTCTGCGAGGTCTCCTCACCCATTTTCCTGGGATTTGACCCAGTCCCTCTGCTCTGAGGCCCTGAATGGAGCCTCCTTCCCCTTGACACATCATCTAGGAACCCCATGCCGCTGTGTGGTGAGCCCAGCAAAGCCTTGTACGACCAGGACCTGTGTGCCTGCTGTCCCCTCCACCCACCAGGGGCCCCGCCCCAACAGATGTCTGACCCCAGTCAGGAGGGACTCGCTAAACCCTCAGAACATCCACAGGCCACATCCTCAGGCCCTAAGCCTTGGTGGCCCCTCCCCACCACAGCTTTTTTTTTTTTTAAAGATTTATTTATTTATGCATACAAGAACTGGGGTACAGGCCAGAGGTGCCAGGGGGTGGGGTGAGAGGATTTACCAGAGAGAGTGGGGAACAGAACAGGCAGATTGACCGAAATACACTGCTGAGGGGAGCAGCCGGCAAGTCGGGAGAGGTCTGTTCGCGATGTGGGTTGCTCCCTGGCCAGGGATCGAACTCGTGCTGCAGAGGCTGTGGATGGCTTCTTAGGTTGCATCTTAACCCCTTGCACCACCAGGTAGGCCTGCCCCCACCACCCGCTTTACAGCAAGGGGGGCTCAGCACTCAGGGCCGAGCTCATCCAAGTTCTTGCTCAAGTGACAGGAGCCCTTCCTGCCTGGTCTCCTTTCCACCATGAGCAGGATCAGGGAGGGGAGGGGCCCGACTGGGAATTCCATGCCCTCCTCACCCCCCATCTCCCATCCTACTCATCCTGCACACAGTACCATCGGTTTTATAAAGCTTATGATGCCAGGTGGATGAGGCAGCAGAGGATGATCACAAAGATGAACCAGGGCCCCTGCATGATACTCCAGGCTCCAGACGTGCCTGGGGCTGTGCCTGGGTCGTGCTCGGTGGTGCTGAAACGGAAAATCACAGTGAAACCCTGGTCCAGTCCCCATAAGTGGAGAATCCCCCCCGCCCCCCAGGTACTCCCAAATGCAGAAATTTTCTTCCCTCTGGCAGCCACTATAGTGGGTCATGGATATATGGACAGAGGAGATGGTCCCATCCCCCAGGGGTACAGAGCTAAGGGGGAGCGAGGTGCTTAACTAACCAGCTAAAAAGTGAGTTTTATTGTGTTTTCATAAAGGTCACTGCTCCAAATGAAAGTCAAATGCTTCCTCTTCTTACTTTTTTAAATGATTTTTTTTAAAGATTTATGTATTTATGCATACAAGAGCTGGCATACAGGCCAGAGATGCAGTGGGTGAGAGGATTCACCAGAGACAGAGTGGGGAGCAGAACAGGCAGACTGACTGAAATACACTGCTGAGGGGAGCAGCGGGTGAGACAGGAGAGATTTGCTGCGCCATGTGGGCTGCTACCTGGCCACTGGGCACTGAAATCGTGCTGCAGAGGCTGCAGACCGCCCCACAGTGTGGTGCTCAACCCCCTGCTCCACCAGGGAGGCCCTGCAACAAAACTTTTGCTCTTAAAAGAAGTGAACAACTCATTGAGGGATTTCTTCTGTTTTTTTCCCCCTATTCATATTTTGGTGGTTTTTTCTTTTATATTGCATAGGGGTTTTTTTTATCCTTATATATTTTTTATTTTATATATTTTTTACATCATTCTTAATTTTTATACAATATGTGCTTAATCATGTCGGTAGCGTCCCCGTGGAACTCCCACCACCAGTTCACCCAAGAACCATCCCCATAGTCGTGTGTGCTCTCCCTGTGACAGGGCCCCCCAATATAGAGTGGGTTGCCTGACTGGTTCCGCACCCGCGTGCTTAAAGGGGACTCACACCGCAGACACACACACAACAAAGGTTTATTGACAGGGGAAGGGGACATGAGGGAATGAACAACTCGGGGAGAAAGAGAGGGAGATAAATTCTTAAACGCGTCCCACCCGCTCTGCCCACCTGGGTCCCAAATGACCCCCCAGACCAAACGCTGCCCGCCGGGAGCAGGAGCCGAGCCGAGACGCCTCACAGGGCTTGTGGTGGAGACAAAGCCGAGGAAAACGGCTGCTAACTCGGCCCTCGGGTCCGCCCAACCGCCCTTTGGGGATCGTGGGGGCCGTAGCTCCCCGGGTCCTGACGGCGTGGGGGGTGGGGTCCACACAGCCCGTGGGGTGGGGTGTGCTCGGGACATGCTTCCCCCCACATCCCGCCCCTGCTCTGACCCCCCCCCCCCCCCCCCGCAGAATGTGGCTGGTTTATAGTTGCTGTTGGTTTTGATTTTCACTTTCTTCCTTAAATAAACTTTACTTTCTTAAACAAAGGTTGTTTCTCTCCCTTACTTTTCTAAAACGCCTGCGAATTCCTTTCCATGGCTTCGTGGAACAAGACCCTGTGGCGCTTTAAGAGCCCGGTTAACGGCGCCTCCTACTCAGTCAGCGACGTCAGTCAGCGACCCAGGGCGGGCGCCGGCGACTTGTGGGCGGGAGGGGGAACCGCCCCGGCGCCAATCGGGGATTGGCTGCGCCTGATGGGCAGGTGAGGGGGGGCGGGGCCGGGATGCTACGATTGGCCCAGCGCCGGTGGGGAGCCGCCTCGTGTCGCCCCGCGGCGAACTCTTGACACAATCACCGCCGCGGGTGGTATTTAAACTCGCCGTCGGCGGCGTGCGCCAGACACAGACCCGGGCCAGCGCGCGTTCCAGCCGCGTCCGCCCCGCCCCGCCCGGGCCTCTCCTCCACCCGCGCCCGCTGCCCGGTGAGTCCCTCCCCGGCCTCGCGCGGGGACCCCCGGCCCTCACGGGAGCAGTCGCGGGACCCGCCCCCCTCGGCCCCGACGGCGGCGCATCGCCCCGCGGGGGTGGGGTTGGGGGGGACAGGGGAGCTGGGGTCCTCCCCGCCCGGACGCCCCTGCTGGGCTCCGAGCCCCCCGGGGACGCGGGGGAGGACGGGGTGGGCGGGGAGCAGCCCCCCGAGTCCAGCCCCGGGGGCTTCCCCCCGAAGCGCCCACCCGAGGGGGGGTCGGGAGGGCGGGGGCGCGCCGGGCGCGGGGGGCCGCCTGGACGCGGGGCTGCAGGTGGTCACTGAAGCGGGAGACTTGCTAGACTTTTGCTTTGATTTTGCTCCTCGGCGCCCGTTTGCAGCGGGTCGGGGAGAAGAACTTCTTGAGTTTTCCTGAGCCCTGTGAGTGTCCCGGGGCGCCTCGCGGAGACGGGGTGACTGGGTGTGAGTCAGGCCAACCCAAAACGGACTCAGAGAGAAATAAAAGGCTTATTTAGAAAGGGTTACCGAAGGAAGAGCGAGAGAGCGGGCGCGCGCGAAGGCGAGAGAGCGAGCTGCACATAAACTAATCAAACAAATTTATTGGCCAAATGCCCTGCGTCCTGCTAACATGTGGAAGCTCATTGCCAGGCCAGTCTGCAGAAGTCAGAAGCACCCCAAGATCGCAATCTTGCATTCTGTATCCTGCAGAGCGGCTTGTCCCGGCCCCCAGCCCATCCCTTTTCGGGGAACCTAGTTTTAGCTAACTGGACATTGCAGACAATAGGGCGAACGTGGATCCTTCCCGTTTTGTAAGATTCACAGTTGCGTTATAACTCATCTGTGATGAGGACGCGGTGCTGTCTGTGGTCACTGGTCTGACTAACCTTGGGGGAGCCCGGGTGAGAGAAAATCCTCCTCACTGAGGAGAAAAGAGTTGGAAAGACCGGGAGTGGGAGCAAATAGATGGGAAGATGCAGCAAGTGGAGGGAGGAAAGGGGTGGGGGGGGAAGGAAGTTGTGGCTGGTGGGGGAGGAGAGGAGCTCACAGATTCCGCCCCCCCCCCCATCACACCGACTGGAGAAGGGGTTTTATGGTGCTATGCAAAGGAGAGAAAGGAGAGGGGTTATTCAAAGTACATTTTGGAGGTTTGTTTTTCTCTTACCTTCTTAATTTTTTGTGCAGTGTTTGATTTCCCACCTCTGCTGTAGTCCTGGTATTTTTCCCTCCACGACAGCAGCCATGACCCCTCACCACAGTCCCAGTGCTTGTCACTCCCCATTTTTGTTTTTTTTTTTTTAAATGTCTGTTACAGTTAAAAACTTGCAAAATACTTCCTTCCACTGCTGAGCTCTTTCCAAGGTCGTCCTTAGTAATGGGAGGAAGAAGGAATAGTGTCCCTCTAGTTACTCATAAATTCTACACCAGGTGTGACTCCAGGCACAGGTAACTCTCACCAGTTGCTCTCTCACCCTCTCAGCAGGAATGGCCCTGGCATCTCACACCCTGTGTTTTCTTTTGCTGCTGCTCCTGGGACCAGCCTGGCAGACTGTGGGCTGTGAGTGTCCTGGGGTCTCCTGGGGAGGAGGGTAGAGGGAGGACCTGAGCAGAGGGACTTGGGGCAGGTCTCAGCAGGGGGCGCCTGTTCCCTTCTCTGAGAGAGAGCCAGGGTGTGGTTTGTGCAGACAGGCTCCCCGGGATATTATACCCACTTCTGGAAACTCAGCCTAAGGCACCTTCTGTCCCCTTGGGCTCACAGGAGGCAGCTCACCCTCCTGCCTGCCCAGTCCCACCTTCTCCAGGAGCCTTTCCTGAAGCCATGGACCATCATGATGTTCCTCATGTCCTGTGGTGTCTTTTCCTCCTTTCTGTGAAAGGCCTCTCAGCTAGATTTTAAGTCCCAAGAGAACAGACAGGGTCTTGTATTTTTGTGCCTCAAAACTCAGAATATGGGGCCTCCCTGGTGGCGCAAGGGATTAAATCGCAGCACTATGAAGCGATCCACTGCAAGTGCAGCATGAGGTCCATCCCTGGCCAGGGAGCTGACCCACCTGGTGCTGCAGACCTCTCCTGACTCACCTGCTGAGTGTATTTCGGTCAGTGTGCCTGTTCTGCTCCCAACTCTGTCTCTGGTAAATCCTCAAACCAACCCTCCCCACACCTGTGGCCTGTACCCCACTTCTTGTGTGCATAAATAAATAAATCTTTTTTAAAAACTCAAAATATGTCACTGAAGATAGTTATCAGCGAATCCTCCGGGGCACAGGAGGGTCCATGGTGGCTTCAGAGTATTTAGCCCCCAGAGAGTTCAGGGTGGAGCAGCACTGAGATGATGAGGGGATGGAGGGAAACGCCTCCCTCTGTAGCAGGCCCTGCCCAGGGTCCCCAGGGCCTCACCTGAGTTTTTCTCTCACAGCCACTGTGCATTCTCTTTGCCTCAACTTCACTGTCACATCTCGCTCCCCACCTGGGCAGCTCTGTGGTGAAGCCCAGGGCTCAGTGGATGGAAACCCTTTTCTTCAGTATGACTGTGAAAACAACAGGGTCACACCTCTGGGTCCCCTGGGGGACAAGGTAAAGGCCACCAAGACATGGACACACTTGACCCAGAAGATGGGAATAGTGGAGAGCCAGCTCAGAATGATCATGCCTGACATCAAACTGGAGAGAAACACGACCAGGGGTGAGTGTGGGGAGGGGCAGGGGGCTGGAGATAGGATGAGAAGGGAAGGGGCAGCCCAGCTGGGGAGGGGCTTTGTGTGAAAACCTCAACACTGTCCCTCCTTAGACACTCGTGAACCTGATGGGCAAGGAGGGGCAAGACCTGGAGAGAAGAACCCAGGCCCCTAATTGTGCAGAGACACTGACCCTCCCGCCCACCCATCCAACTACTGGGGGAGATGGGGCAGCCACAGTGACCCAGGTGTGGATGGCAGGTACCCCCACCCTGCAGGCCAAGCTGTCTTGTCAGCATGAAGCACACAGAGGCACTGGTGCATCCTGGGAGTTCAGCATCAATGGACAGCGGCCCTCCGCTTTGACACGATGAGCCGGACGTGGTCAGCCATTGATCCTGGAGCCAGAGGGGTCAGGGAGGAGTGGGAGAACAACCAGCAGCTGACAGAGTATTTCAGGAAGATCTCCAGGGAGGATTGCCCTCACTGGCTTCGGGAATTCCTACCACACTTGGAAGAAATGCTGGAGCCCACAGGTAACTGAGCAGGGCGGGAGGATGTGGGAACTGCCTATAAATCTCTGACCTGTCTTGGGGGGTGTGAGTGTGTGATTGAAGGTGTGATGGATGGATCATCTGATTTCTCAGTGGACTCCTGTCTGCAGAGTCAGAGACCCCATAGCATCCCACTTCCTCCTGCCCCATCAAGTCCCTCAGCGCTGGAGCCCTTCCCCCCTCCACCAAGGATCCATCCACCCTGCCCTGGAGGGTCCCCTAGGAGCCTGCATCTCCAGGCTTTCTCTCTTCTAGTTTAGTTTTCCTTTAACCAGCTCAAAAGTCTCTTCTCATGAAGTCTTCGCCATCTCCCCCAGACAGAATTAAACACCCCCAAACTCTGTTGACCTCAAAATGGTCAACTCCCAGTAAACAAGTCAAACTGTGAAAATCAGTGGCCACCTGCTGTCTCCCCCAGCTGAAATCTGAGCTCCACAGGGACAGGACCTAACCCCTATTGATCTTCACACCCCAGGACCTGTAGAGTGGCTGTCATATGAGTCAGGAATGTGGGGGTTACACATGCTGCCTGGGAACACAGGTGCTCAAGGGGTACATTTTCAGGTTTGACAGGGCTTTTGGTATTTTCTTTTGGTTTCTTTTAGTGTCACCAACAAAGACCCCAGAGACCGGCCAGTCCAACTGGATGATGATTTTGATCTTTGTCTTTGTCCTATTTGTCATCATTGTCATTGGCAGCATCATCGGCATCAAGGTCAAGCCCTCTAGGAGGAGATCAGGTGCTACTGGAGGTGAGCTCAGGGGCCTCTGTGTCTTGGGACCGGCACAGTCTGGTCAGGACTCAGGAGAGATGTCCCAGGTCTCCCCCAAGCCCTGTGCCCGATTTGAAACCTCCTCACAGAACCATGCACTTTCAGATTGGGGCTGGGCCCCCTCCTGCTGTTGTGGGGAGGAGGCTGGTACTAAGAGCAGGACCATTTGGTGAGGGGCAGGGCAGAGTCTCTACTCCTGCGTGGTTAGGGCCTAGGTCTCCAAGGCCTGGGGTGGGTGCTGTTTCCCTCTAAACCAGGATCCCCTCAGACCTTAGAAGAGAAAAAGTCTTTGTTCTATAACCAGAGTGTGATTTAGCGCAACAATTTTCTTACTGATGTAACATTTGCTCCATTTTTTTGGTGTTTCCTCTCTAGACCATGAGAATGTAAATGGTCAACCCCTGATGATAAAAAATGAAGTTTGAAATAGGAGCCTACAATCTCCTGCAGAGATGTTTTTACAAGACACTATGAAGTTTTATGGTTTTGAAGCTAATGAACTTTAATCTTCAGACCAGCCCTTCACTTGCAGGAGCCCCTCCTGGGCCCTTGAAGAGCCCCTTGCGTGGACTTCTGTTACTTGGTCATTTTGAAAATTGGCAGAAGTGAGACCTTTGCCTCTCACCAGACAGGACAGCTGCTGTACCTGATGTTCTTCCCACCGGACCTGACTCTGCCTCTGGGGAGCTGGAGCGGCTGCTGCTATTTATTTTATTGATTTATTTTTTTAAAGTTTATTTATTTATACAAGAACCAGGGTACAGGCCAGATGCGTGGGAGGGTGAGAGGATTCACCAGAGTCAGAGCGGAGAACAGAACAGGCAGAATGATGAAATACACTGCTGAGGGGAGCAGCGGGTGAGGTAGGAGAGGTCTGCCGCAACATGTGGGACCCTTGCTGGGCGGCCAGGATCGAACCAGCGCTGCAGAGGCTACAGACAGCTTCACAGCTCAGCGCTCAACCGCCTGCACCACCAGGGGAGGCCCTGCTATTTATTTTAGCCAGTGAAGTGAAGAGCGGTTAGGAATATATTCTTATATACTGTGTACTGAGATATTTATAATGTAGTAACAATGTGCAAATATTAATATTTATGTGTTCACAGTCCCTCTGTGTGAAGGTAGTTATCACTGTGCAGAACCCACGTCCAGGGTGCTAATAAGCCTATGAAAAGGTGCTAAGCATCGTTAGCCTCCAGGGAAATGCAGATCATACCACCCAGTGAGATGCCGCACATGCTCCGGGGTGGGTGGCACCAAAAAGACAGTACAGAACATTTGAAACTCTCTTACTGCCGGCTGTACAAGCTGTAGGACTGTGATATGAACAAGCTGTAGGACTCATATTTAGCACCCTGCAACTTAGACTAGAAGCATTGGGACTCAAATGCTTTGTTAAAAAGCTATCAAACGTTTAAACTATGCTTCACTTCTGTATCATACATAATATGGAACAAACTTTTTTCCTACACATTAGCAGAGAGTTGTATTCCTTCCTAAGCGTGGGTCAGCTTCCAACATGTCATCCCTGTGCTTTCACTGTCAGGAAATGTATCTGAGATATTGAGTGACAAGAAAGAAAAGGCAGGCAGTGCCCAGTGCAGGGTGAATGTGGAGAGAGTGAACCCCTGGATGGCGGGGAAAGACAATGGAGATGGGGTCAGTGAGGAGGGTGACTGTGTGAGGTGAGGGCTGTGTGCTGGGCATGACTTGTTTCTCGATGATGCTGGAGATTCCAGAGTGAAATGTGGACAGTCAGGGATGAGGAGCAGGTATTGTCAGATCATGTGGAGTTTCCATTTCTAATTCTGAAGCAATTTCCACCCCAGGAAGGGGATGTTTTTAAAAAAACATCTCTTCCAGGCTTTCCTCAGGGATCTGTTCTAAATCCAGCTCCAAACGTTCTAAAGTAGATTGTGGGGTTGAAATGGTCAACGTGTTTGGCATATTTATGGCAGATTTTCGTACAGGAAGTCTACAGACCACCTGCTGGAAAGTCCTAGGGTCTTTTTTGGAAACAGTTTGCCTGGTTGCGATGCTGGCTCTAGGGCTTTTATGAAACATATTTATTGACATGTAATTTGAATGACACCAGCGACAGGGCACCTGAGTGAGCTGAAGCTCTTTAAACATAAAGGCTATTTTTTGGAACTTTTGAAGATTTAAAAGCCTACATCCTAATTCAATGTTTGTTGTAATACTTGGAAGGATATTTTAAATTTTGATATTGAAATTTTTAGTCCTAAGACATGTTAAAATTTTTTAAAACAAAGTTTAAGATTATTGTTTTTGACAAAACTTTATCCTTTGTATATTTTTCTTCAATAAAAAAAAGTAAACAAAAGCAAAATATTTAGTTACCTGTAAATCATGTATGTGTGGTGGGCTGTGATTTCTAGTCAGTCGTTCTGTAAATTTCCGACTATGTGAGAGTGAGGAAATCTAATGCACACATTATTATCATTACATACAAGTAGACTATAAATATTAAATCTAGCAATTAAACAATTGCAAGAATTATGCCTTATAGATAATTAAGCAAGTGTGTCCATTTCTGTTTCGGAGTTTGCCTTTTTTTTTTTTTTTTTTTTGCATGTATTTATTTATTTATTTGTTTGTTTGTTCATTTACACAAGCACTGGGTACAGTCAGAAGCGCGGGAGGGTGAGAGAATTCACCAGAGCCAGAGCGGGGAGCAGAGCAGGCAGAAGGACCGAAGTACACTGCTGAGGGGAGCAGCGGGCGGCAGGAGAGGTCTGCGCGCCATGTGGGACCCTCCTCTGGTGGCCGGGGAGCAGCCGGGGATCGAACCTGTGCCGCAGAGGCTGCGGGCAGCTTCGCAACCCAGCGTTCAACCGCTGCGCCACTGGGGAGGCCATGGAGTTTGCCTTTTGAACACTGTACCCAGATCTGCACGAGAGCTAAGGCTCCCCGTGGCCGCCGCTCCCCTGAGCCTTCACCTCTCTCAGGGCTCGCACATGACCCACCACTTAGGTCTGAACCATTTTCATGTCCTTGTTTCTTTTTTCTTTTGAATTGTTTCTATTATTTTGAATTTTTTTTTTTAAGATTTTGCTTATTTATTTTTGTGTGGAAGAACCGGGGTGTAGGCCAGAGGTGCGTGGGTGGGGTTGAGAGGATTCACCAGAGACAGAGTGGGAAGCAGAACAGCCAGGTATACTGAACACACTTCTAAGGAGAGAAGCAGATGAGACAGGAGAGGTCTGCTGCGCCATATGTGGGTTAGCTCCCTGGCCTAGGATGGAACTCAGGCCCTCTCAGTGATAGTACTGAGACTCAACCCCTAGGCCACCAGGGAGGCCCCTTGAATTATTTTCTTATTATGTTTCCCACGGTATAACAAGTAGCATCTTAGCCTCGTTAAAAAACAGAAGTCACTTGAGTATTTAGAAATCTAATTGGCTCTATTAAGTGACTCATTAGTCGAGCAGCACCCACCTAGCAAGCAGAAAGTCTCCCAGAGAGGTTGCACAAATGGATGGTTTTTCTAGTCAGAGATAAGGTGGGACAATATTATCAATAAAGAAAAAGAAAGATTATCTCAGGCAAAGCCACCTTCCTCAAGTGGAGACAGGGGTCTCTTATCATGCAGATGACCTCACCATGCTTAGTTTAAAATTCCATTTTGGGGGGAGGCAGAGAGGCTGCGTGGGGACCTCTTCTTTTGACTTGTGGGGGCCGAGGTGTGACAGCTGCCAGGTAGTGTCACTGGGTTTGCACAGTTTGTACCTGCTAAGCAGGCAGCACCCATGCCCAGCATGACTGAGCTGGGTTTAGCTCCTCAGAGGGTTTGCCCAGAGACAGTAGGACAGTAGGAAACTATTCCCCTCAAGTCCCAAACCAGGCCTGAACCAAAGAGCAAACTTCTGGTCACATTATTGCACCCCAGGGTCCATGGTGGCTTCACAATACCTGACTAAGACCCAGACAGTCCAAGCTGAGACACTAGAGGGGCTGGAGTGAGACTCCCCCCCCCACAGCAGGCCCTGCCCAGGGGTCCGCAGGACTTCACCTGAGTTTTTCTCAAAGATGCTCACTCTTTTTTGCCTCAGTCTCACTGTCAACTCTCAGTCCAGACCCAGAGAAGCCCTGGGGTGAAGCCCAGGGCTCAGTGGATGGAAATCCTTTCCTTTCCTTCAATATGACTGTGACAACCACAGGGCCACGCCTCTGGGTCCCCTGGGGGAGAAGGTAATCGCCACCAAGTCATGGACAGACTTGACCCAGACAATGGGAGAAGTGGGAAGAGAGCTCAGGATGATCCTGTCTGACAACAAACTGGAGAAAAATGTAACCAGGGATGATTGTGGGAAGGGCTGAGGAGGAGGCCCCTGTCTCCAGTGTGAGGAGCAGCCCAGGTGGGGAGGGGCTTCGTGTGAAAACCTGAACATTGTCCCACCTTAGAGATACATGAACGTGATGGGCAAAAGGGGGCAAGATCTGGAGAATGAACCCAGCCCCTAACTGTTCAGAGACATTGACTCCCGTACTGGGGGAGATGGTGGACACTCTACCCCCTGGATTGGAACCATCTTAAAGACAAACATAGAAAATTCAAATTGCTTTGCAAAGTCCTGGTTCTGTTTGACCTCAGAGAGGAGACCTGGTCCTAGGAAAGATAAAAGATATCGTCTACCTGGGGCGAGAGTAGGATAGGAGAAGAGACAGATTAAGATCTTATTTTGAAGTTTGTTCTTAGACTCTTATCAGAAATTTGACAAGGAATATCATTTACAGAAACCTACTATGTAGTTTGTGATAATAAATTGACCATTTTAAATAAGAAACTTAGATTTTTAATGAAACCTGTCCCTTTTAATGGCCAATAAGAAGTTTAGAAAATTTCCAACCAACTGGCAAGCTTCCTTTACAGCTGACTAGAAAGCCCAAAGTCATTTTGAGAAAACCAACTGAGCCTGATCCCAGAAGTCCCGAGTGTGATCCGAAGAGGCCAGTGAATTCAGAGGAAGAAAAGGCCTCCTTCAAGTGGAGAACACTCTCTTCAGCTTCCTTGACATCCCATTTTCACAGTGACTGGGAGACACTGAATGAGCTGTCTGACTAAACACATAAGAATAAGAAAAAAAAAACAAACTTTTAAATAACCAAGACCCAATTCCAGATATTTGCTTGCATTCCTTACACAGGCACAACATCAGATTCACAAAGTTATTGGCACAAAGTGAGGACCGAGTAAGGGAAGGAGAAGCCCCAGTCCAGGCCCACTGCTCTGATGGGGACAACCCAGCCCTTCCAGCACCTGCCAGGGTCCACCGAGTCAGGTTTGTCCTAGGTTGCCCACAGTCAAAGCGCCTGAGCTTACCCCGGATGTCAGGGGGAGACTGTAGAAGAGGATCATCACAAGGAACTCAGGCCTGGGCCAGCCAGTGGAGCGCTGCCTGGCTTTAGGGTTAGGAAAGCACCTGTCTGTCCCCCACTGTCAGCTGCTCCTGGGCTCCTGCAGGGAAACAGTGACAGGAGCTGCTTCTCAGACATGGGTTGGCAGCTACAGGTCCCCAACTCAGTTAATACTGTCCCCAAGGGCCTTTCAGATAAGACAAATATGGCACCTCTCACCATTTTAACCATATCCCTGGCTTCCAATAACAAACAGGAAACTCCGAATACCAGATACTAGCGAAAATACCCACTGTTTCCCAATTCCCACTCCCCTGCTTGACACACCACAGAAGCTCTAAATTGAGGGAGACTCATAGACTTCCTCCCAAACTGAGGGGAACTGGACTCCCTCCCCGACAGGGACTCCAATTCCTCCCAAATGTGTGCAGGCGAGGGGCTTGGCGGGTGTGCACCCCAGGGAGCTGATACCAAATGCCAGGGACCACGGTTCTCCCCCCGGGTTCCATCTCCTCCAAGGCCAATCCAGGGGGCAGAGAAGAGCTGGGCCTCTCCTGAGGAGGACTTGGCATGTTCCCTGGAGGAGAAGCCTCATAGCTGCTGGGACTCTGCCTCCCCCTGGAGAGTGGTGCTCCCTCTGAGCATGGGGTTCAGACAGCCACCCGGGATGCCCAGGGGACAGGGTGGCCTGGAGCACTGCCACTGTAGCGGGCAACTGCTCCATCCCCCGGAAGTCAGAGTTGGGGGTGGCAGAGCCCAAGTGGCATCCAGCTCCTGGCTCTGGCCTGTCCCATTGGTCCTGACGCCGGCCTCAGTTTCCCTCAGGCGATGAAAGGAATACGAGTTTGAGGAAAAGGAAAGTGGTTGAATTGGTGGACAAACCAGGACGGCAGCTGACTCATGTCTGACAGACCCCGTCCTGCTCTGGGGCAGAGGGCAGGGGTCTTGATGCAAAGGGGAGGGGGACGGGGTCGGGGAGACAAGGGGGAGCTCCAGGCTGCTTTTCTCAACTCTTTGGAAGTGGAAAAGACAAACTTGTCAAATGAGGGGGGAATTGCGAGAGATACGGGAGACCAACTGGTTCATTCCTACCTGACGACCAGTCACTTGTAGCTGCATCAGATGTGCTCCCACAGCTCAGACCCAAACCTCACATTCATAATAAAATGCTTCTTTAGTTACATGTTTCCTCCTTTATTTATTTAGATTTATTTCTTTATGCATACAAGAACTGGGGTACAGGCCAGAGGTGCGGGGGTGCGAGACAAGTCACCAGAGACAGCGTGGGGAGCAGAACTGGCGGATGGACTGAAATCCATGGCTGAGGGGGGCAGCGGGGAGACCGGGGAGGTCTGCTGTGCCCTATGGGCTGCTCCTGGCCGGCAGGGATGGGACTCGTCCTGCAGGGGCTGGCCAGGGCTGGAGAGCGCCGTCTGCACCCCCTCCCAGTCCCCCGGGAGGCCAATGAACATGACCTGAAATGGTCCCCAGTTCTCATGGTGAAGCTGAGCACAACCTGAGCTGTATGAGAGGTGGCGCCGCCATTAGGATCATGATGGAAAGAAGCACCTCAGGGCGGCGTCCTCCTGTCCCCCCTGGATGGTGCGGGGGCTCCTGACCAGCTCTCTCCCTCCGCGGGGAGCAGCCGCCTGTCCGTGCCCGTCCCGCCCCCGGCCAGGGCTTCTCTGCCCGACCGCCCCCAGCTGAAGCAGGGCCGCTCAAGGCCCCACCTGGCTTAGACCCTGAGATGCCAGGGAAGGCTCCAAGCAGAGCAAGGGCGCAAGAACCCGGCCCGGCCTCCCCGGATCTCCAGCTGCTGCATTACCAGGACTTGCTGAAAGCTCTTAGCACCCCCGGCCCTGGCCAATGCTCGCCAGGGGGTAGAGGGTTCCCTCTACCCTCCGCTCACACACACCCAGGAGCAACTTGTGCCCCTAGAAGACGCCTTAGGCAGAGGGGCTGAGGTCACTTGTCAGGGAAGACACCCCCCCTTAGCCACAGCAGACGGGCGACCGCGCCCACTGCCAGCAAATGAAATAGGCCCACACAGTCACCCCACAAGGCGCGAGCCGCGGGCAAGCCGCATCCGTGATGGGGAAAAGCCCGCACCTGACTGAGCAAACCTGTGTAGCCTCCAGGTACTGCCACACGCCCCGCCCACCCCACAGGGCAGACACCAGCAGACACAAAAAGTGACGACGCCAGAAGCGTCGGTAGGGGGCGCCAGAAACTCCAAGGCAAAGCCCGGACGACGGGGTCCCTCTACCGCCTGGGCCCTCCACCCACTGGACCTTCTACCACAGTGACACCAGGTGTTTGTGTGGACGGCAGGTGCCTCACCCTGCAGGCCAAGCTGTCTTGTCAGGGTGAAGCACACAGAGGCACTGGTGCATCCCGGGAGCTCGGCATCAATGGACAGAGGACCCTCCTCCTTGGCAGCATGAAAAGAAACAGGATAGTCATTAATTCTGGGGTGATGTGCTGCCTGGGTGAAGCAGTTTTGAGAGCGCTTTTGGTGTATTATTACACCTCCCACACCTCTGACCTGTACCCCAGCTTTTGTATGCATACATAAATAAATCTTTTAAAATAAAAATGAATTTTAAAAATTAGAAAAAAATTCTATATCCCACGGTGAACTTTTGTTAAATAAATTATTGGCAAAACTAACCTCATTCTCTAGAGTAACAATGTTGCTCCCCTTCCAAACGGGCCTGGCGGGCGCTAAGGCTCCCTGTCCCGGGGTGTGAGCCCTGTCCCGAGCCCGAGCTCCGCGGTTCAGCACCTCGGCCAGCGCCACACCGGGCGCCGGCTCTCCCGCCACTTTTCGCAGCGCGGAGGGCGGAGCCGGGTCGCGCAACGCGGGGCGGGGCGGGGCGGGGCGGGGCGGGCGGGCCCCGGTCGCTGTTCCTGGTGCTGAATCTCGCGGCCCCTCCTGGTACCCGCGGCGGCGCCCCTGGCCCCGGGGGCAGCGCAGCGGCCGCGCAGCCGCGGGAAGGGCCCGGGAGCGGCGCCCGCTGCCCGCTATGCCCGCCGCGGCCGAGGCTCTCGCCGGCGCCCGCGAGCCCGCGGCCCCCAGGGCGCAGTCGGGCCCCGAGGAGGCCGCGCTCTGAGGCCGGGCCTAGCGCCTGGGCCTCTCGCAGGAGGAGCCCCGGCCCGCGCTCGCCTCCGCGGGCCCCGCCCCGCCTCCGCGCGCCTCCTGCGGCCGCCGCCATGGCGCCCGCGGCCCCGGAGAGCCCCCCGCGGCTTCGGGCGCTGCGCGGGCTGCTGCTGCTCTGTCTGTGGCTCCCGAGCGGCCGCGCGGCCGGGCCGCCCCCGGCTCCGCTGTCCGAGCTGCACGCGCAGCTCTCGGGCGTGGAGCAGCTGCTGGAGGATTTCCGCCGCCAGCTGCAGCAGGAGCGGCCCCAGGAGGAGCTGGAGCTGGAGCTGCGCGCCGGCGGCGGCCCCCGGGAGGGCTGCCCGAGCCCGGGCGGCGGCGGCTACAGCGCCCTGCTGGACGCCATCATCCGCACCAAGGACTCCATCGCCGCGGGGGCCAGCTTCCTGAGCGCGCCGGCGGCCGTGCGGGACTGGCGGCAGTGCCTGGCGGCCTGCTGCTCCGACCCGCGCTGCTCCGTGGCGGTGGTGGAGCGGCCCTGGCGGCCCGCGCCCCCGGCCGCGGAGCTGGGCTGCTACCTCTTCAACTGCACCTCGCACGGCCGCAGCGTCTGCAAGTTCGCCCTGCACCGCGGCTACAGCACCTACAGCCTCAGCCGCGCCCCGGAAGGCGGTCTGCAAGGCCTGGAAGCCGGCGCCCCGGCCACCGCCCAGGCCTCCTCTCGGCTGGGTAAGCACCCCACTGAGGGAGGTGGGGCCAGGCCGCTTGGGTGCTGCCTACCTTTCACCTCTTGGGTGGCGTAGGCAAGACCGCTGGGCTTTCTTTAGCCCAGTTAGAAATGAAACACCCTCGTTTGCAGTTATCCCAGCTGCAGGCTTCCAGAAGAGTGACTTTGATTTTTCCAGTCTTTGGGGTGGTTTCTGAAAAAATCCCAGCACCGTGGGCTGCTGCAGGAATTTTCCTAGATATTTTTCTAGTAGCTGGTCTGAGAGTATTCACAATTTAGAAGAGAAAAGCTCAGAGATAAGAAAAGATTTGTTTTAGTTTCAGAGGTTTTATAAGGCATGGTTTGTGTCAAGTAATTCCAAGAGTAAAATTTAATTAGGTGCCAGATTGCTCATAACACACCCTATTCATTTCCTTTTCTTTTTTTTTTAAATTTATTTATTTATGCATACAAGAGCTGGGGCCAGAGAGGCGGGGAGTGAGAGGATTCACCAGAGACATCGTGGGGAGCAGAACAGTCAGATCTACTGAAATACACTGCTGAGGGGAGCAGCAGGCGAGACAGGAGAGGTCTGCTGTGCCATGTGGGTAGCTCCCTGGCTGGTGATTGAACTTGGGCTGCAGAGGCTGCTAATTGCTTCACAGAGCTGTGCTTAACCCCTTGAGACACCAGGGTAAAATTATGCTTTTTACTTAATGGTTTTACTTTCTTTTTTTTTTTTAATATTTATTTATTTATTTATTTATTTATTTATTTATTTATTTATACAAGCACTGGGTACAGTCAGAAGCGCGGGAGGGTGAGAGAATTCACCAGAGCCAGAGGGGAGAGCAGAGCAGGCAGAGTGATGAAATACTCTGCTGAGGAGAGCAGCAGGCGGCAGGAGAGGTCTGCACGCCATGTGGGACCCTCGCCTGGTGGCCAGGGATTGAACCGGCCCTAAAGAGGCTGCGGGCAGCTTCGCAACCCAGCGCTCAACCACTGCGCCACCAGGGAGGCCCAATGATTTTACTTTCTACAAATTCTCAGAGAGAAAATCAAGATATTACAGGATGCAGATAAAATTATTGATAGCAACTGGAGGCTCAGGTCATGGAGGAAATTGAAATCTTGATTGGGTTGGCTTGTGGTTGATTTGGTGTGTTTGATTTCCTTCTGTTAATGTTTGTTTTATAATAACACAAGGGTGATACTATAGCAAGATTAGAGAGGGAAATCTCAGCCACTTTGGAAATCTGGGGTCTTCATGACCTTTCACTTCAGAGAATTTGTGTCCACAGGCCCAGAATCCCCTACCTACCTGAGCCTCCCTATCTCCTCTAAAGAGGAGGCTCAGAATTCTTAGGGGGGAGGCAGACACTAAAGTTCACCTAGAAGGCCCTAATCAACTTGGAGGGAGACACTAGGAAGAACCCCAAATTTTTTTTCCCTTAAGGAGGAGCAAAGGGATCCCCACCAGCATCCCAGACCTCCCCATGACTATTACACACATACCCTTTCTCTGTCCAAATGTGGACCCAAAAGGCCTAGCAGCAAAGAAACAACATCCCTGTTCCTTGTTCTCACTACATAGCTGCAGGAATCTGCCATCACAAGGGGAAATTTCCTGAAAGCCAGGGAGGCCAAAGGAAAATAAACATGGAATGAACATGCTGCTGGGGAAAAATGATATTTTTCTAGTAAAATTGTGAGCCATTTTTTCTTCTACTTCCTTCTTTACTCTTTCCTAGCGGAGGGTTTTGTTTAGGGATTCGATTTTGTAGCTGTTTAGGAGTCAAATACTTGGAGAGCACTGTCCTGCTCACACTTCCTGGGACCCCAGCAGCTTGGGAACGTGGAGGGAAGGATGCAGCTCAGTCCTGGAGGTGCCCTCATTCTGCTCGCGGAATGAGGGAGAGTTACTCTACATTAATACCCTGTTCCCCCAGCCAGATGCTTCACCTATGGAAGCTCTTTATGCTTCTGAAACTACTTGGTTTGTCCTTCTGATTTGTTTGTTTTTCTGATTCCCATGTGTGAAATGGCGATATGGCTTAGAAGATCTGCAGAGAATGTGTTATGGGTCCATTTGAGGGGAAAGAAAAGATCATGGTGAAGGGCCAGGTTGGAGGAGATAGAACAAATTTGTACTGGAACCTGTCATCTTATTGGTGGCTGAAGTTTATTGAATTTGGTGCTGGGCACTGTTGCAAGCACCTTAGACACATGAGCTCACTCTGTCCTCATCACACCCAAGATGTAGTTCAGTTCTAATCCCCAGTGTACCGGAAGGCTGGGTGAGAGAAAGTAACTTGCCTAAGGGTTTCAACCTGTGAGTTGTGTGGGTTGTGCAACTGTGTCATGTGGGTTATGCAGCTGTGTCATGTGGGTGTGGAGCTGAGCTGTGCGGGTTGTGGAGTTGTGTTGTGTGAGTCTGGGAAATCAGACCCTCTTTTCCTGTGTACCTCTGCAAGCCTCATACAGACACAGATTCTCTCCCTCCCTCTCCCTCCCTCTCCAAATGCAAAGGAAAGAGCTGACCTTCCAGTTCAAAGTTAATCCCTCACCAGTGTCTGACCAATCACCTCCAGAGATCTTTCTCAAAATTTAAGCCCCTCCATTTTGTACTGTAGAGAAACATCACAAAAGAGAGGCAATTATATTTAATAAATAATATTGAGAAAACTATTTGGGAATGTTGGGGGAAATACACTAGACCTGTAACTCTGGCCACACTCAAATAATTTCCAAATTGAATTAAGTATTTTTTTAAAGTAAGACACAAGTTACTCCATACATAAGACTTGAAGAAAATAAACTTGCTGTTATCAATCTGGAGAGAAGATAACTTTATCTAATATATTAAAGAGGTCACAAAGAAAAAGCATAGGGCCTCCCCAGTGGTGCAGCGGTTGAGCGCTGGGTTGCGAAGCAGCCCGCAGCCTCTGCAGCACTGGTTCGATCCCCGGCTGCTCCCCGGTCATCGGAGGAGGGGCCCACATGGCACACAGACCTCTCCTGCCGCCCGCTGCTCCCCTCAGCAGTGTACTTTGGTCCTTCTGCCTGCTCTGCTCCCTGCTCTGGCTCCGGTGAATTCTCTCGCCCTCCCGCGCTTCTGACTGTACCCAGTGCTTGTATAAATGAATAAACAAATCTTTAAAAAAAAAAAGAAAAGAAAAAGCATAGATCATATTCATGTTTTTTGGTTTTTTTTTTATATTTAAAAAAGCAGGTTTCAGGCCTCCCCAGTGGCACAGCGGTTGAGCGCTGGGCTGTGAAGCTGCCCGCAGCCTCTGCAGCACCGGTTCGATGCCCGGCCAGCCGGCCAGGGAGGGTTCCACATGGTGCGCAGATCTCCCCTGCCGCGCCCGCTGCTCCCTTCAGCAGTGTATTTCGTCAGTCTGCCTGTTCTGTTCCCCGCTCTGTCTCTGGTGAATTCGCTCACCCTCCCGCACTTCTGACTGTACCCAGTGCTTGTAAAAATAAATAAATCTTTAAAAAAAAAAAGCAGGTTTATTAGGGAAAGGGACAGAAGAATAAAGGACACAAGTGGGCATAGACACAAGTGGGCAGAAAGAACTGCCCAAGAAACTTCTTTATGTCAAGAAACAAAGGGAATTGTAAATGAGTTGAAAAATATGACTAAAATTGGTCATGTTAATAGAAAGAGCTCATGTCAATCAGTAAGAAAAACAAAAAATAAATGAGCAAAGAATATTAACAGTTTCCAGAAGAAGAGATAGAATTGATAAACATGGGGGAAATGTTCAACCTTAGAATTATTCACAGAAAGGCAAATGAATTGACAAAAATAAGTTTACAAATACTGGCATGCATATGGAAAACTTAATATAATCTTATTGGTCCTGGAAGTGTAAATTGGTACCATCTTTTGGAAATCAAACAGGATATATGGAGCAAAGATCATTAAAAAGTCATTCATTCTTCTGGAATAGCTGTTAGGAAAATGTTTATACTAAAGAGAAAGTATGAACAAAAAAATGCTTAGCACAGCATTGCTTATAGTGGTGAAAAAAACTGGCAGCAAGGTAAGTGCCCTATAATAGAGGTTATTTTACATTAACATGAGGAAAAAAAATAAATTAATTAACATGACGTTAAATTAAATGGCAATTGTGAAGTTTATGTAATAATATGGGCACTGCTAGGGTATATGAATAAATACAACAAATGGAATGTATTAATAAGTTGGTAAATTAAATTAGGGATGTAAATTTATATTTATTGTAACAAGAATACACCTCCCTGCCTCAAGGCACAGTGGGAAGGAAAGAGCCTTTCCGGAAGGAAGATCTGGGGCTGACAAATATATCACTTGTGTGACCTTAGGCAACTAAGTTACCATCTCTGATCACAGTTTTCTCAAAGCATGATGCAGATGATAATACCTACCTTGGAGGCCTTTGAAAGGTAAGTGAAATTATGCTTCAGAAGCACTTAGCATAGTGCTTGGCACACAGAAATCATTATTAGCGCAGCAGTAGCATTGGAGAAGGGCTAACACAATATATACCCAAAATGCTGACTCTCATATTGTGATTATAAGTAATTTTTTATTTTTTTTTAAGATTTATTTATCTATGCATACAAGAACTGGGGCAAAGGCCAGAGATGCCGGGGGTGAGAGGATTCACCAGAGACAGAGTGGGGAACAGAACAGGCAGACTGACTGAAATGCACTGCTGAGGGGAGCAGCGGGTGAGTCAGGAGAGGTCTGCTGCGCCATGTGGGTTGCTCCTTGGCCAGCTGGGGAATCAAATTTGTGCTTCAGAGACTGTAGATTGCTTCACAGTGTGGTGCTTAACCCCTTGTGCCACCAGGGAGAAAACTTACAATCTTATTGGTCCTGGAAGTGTAAATTGGTACCATCTTTTGGAAATCAAACAGGATATATGTAGCTAACAATAGTCATTCATTCTTCTGGAATAGCTATTAGTAAAATGTTTATACTAAAGAGAAAGTATGAACAGAAAAATGCTTATCACAGCATTGTTTATAGCGGTGAAAAAAAACTGGCCTTCCTATGAGTAATTTTTTCTAAAAAGTGTTGCTATCAAAAGCCACAACCAAACCACCATGTTACAGAACCACAATGGGTTTGACTGTCACATGACCCCACCTCTGTATCCTGTCCTCTGGGGCCCTCTGACCTCCAGCCACCCCCATGTGGTTTGTGTCCTGGCAGTACAGACCCAGATCCCAGAACTTCTTCCTTGTCTTTAAGGCTCTGTTCACAGCAGTGTGTTGTAAATCAAATTAGTTAACACTATCATTCTTTTCTGGATAAATGCTACCTTGATAGGCTTCAACAAGTCAGTACGAGTCTTTTTCACCTCTGTAGATCTTACCAAGTACGTTTAGCTTTCAAAAAAAATCTGTTTCTAGTATATAACATTGGTTTGTTATGTTTCTGTGGCAGAAGTTCAAAATTACATGTTTTCTTCATAAGCATGTCAAATATTTTTAGTGATAGCACATTCTTTCTCTTCCTGTGTCACTGTTAATTTTTTTTTTTTTTAAAGAGGCATGAATTTTTATTTATTTATTTATTTGTTTGTTTGTTTATACATGCACTGGGTACAGTCAGAAGCGCGGGAGGGTGAGAGAATTCACCAGAGCCAGAGCAGGGAGCAGAGCAGGTAGAGGGACCAAGGTACACTGCTGAGGGGAGCAGCGGGCGGCAGGAGAGGTCTGCACGCCATGTGGGACCCTCCTGCGGTGGCTGGGGAGCAGCCGGGGATCGAACCGGCGCCGCAGAGGCCACAGAGGCTTCGCAACCCAGCGCTCAACCGCTGCGCCACCGGGGAGGCCCATGTCACTGTTAATTTTAAGGCCTGTTTCTAGGTAGGTAAATTCAGATTCACCTTAAACACATTATACATTGTCATTTGCCTGGACTTAAACTGAGGACTTAAATTGTTATTCAAATACAACAGTATCAGCATTCAAAAAAGATAAACACATGCAATTTGCAGCAACATGGATGGCGCTGGAAGGGATCATGCTCAGCGAAATAAGCCAGAAAGAAAAAGAAAAATACCGGATGGTCTCACTCATAGCAGGAATCTAGAAAACTTAAATAAGGGACCAGGAAAATGAATAACTATAAGAAAGTGAAAATCAAAATCAACAAAAAACTATGAACCAGAGACACTTTTTGGGGGGTGGGGGGCGGGAGGGGAGGGGTTGGGGTCAGAATGGGGGGGTTGCAATTGTATGGGGAATATAAAAAAAAATTGTAAAAATGCTTAGCAAACATCTTTATACATACTACATGAAGCACAACTGTTATTTAGAATCATCATCAGTTTGCATTCACAAGGGTATTAAAGGACACATTGTAAGCACATAGAATTTTGTGATGAAGTTATATTCACTCTAAGGTTTATAAAGTTAGTTTCCCCTGTGTAACCAAAGTACAAGGACAGGGAAACTGTCCTTGATTTTGATTCTATTGCATGTGTACTGAAAGTTCAGAATTAGTTTTATTTACAAGTGTGATGTTGTAATTAAATTTTTACATTAAAGTGGAATAGTTAGCCTTGAAAAAAAAAAAACAAATACAACAGTAATCAGTTTAGAGGATATGAGGGTTTCACTGTGTTCACACATTATATTTTTTTTTTTTTAATAGAGGCATGTTTTTATTTATTTATTTATTGTTTGTTTGTTTGTTTATACATGCACTGGGTACAGTCAGAAGCGCAGGAGGGTGAGAGAATTCACCAGAGCCAGGGCGGGGAGCAGAGCAGGCAGACGGACCGAAGTACACTGCTGAGGGGAGCAGCGGGCGGCAGGAGAGGTCTGCGCGCCATGTGGGACCCTCCTCCAGTGGCCGGGGAGCAGCCGGGGATTGAACCGGCGTCGCAGAGGCCGCGGGCAGCTTCGCAACCCAGCGCTCAACCGCTGCGCCACCGGGGAGGCCCCACACATTATATTTTAAAAGTCACCTACCTAAAGGATAAGCTGTGTTTTTTTTTTTTGTTTTTTTTTTTTCCAAGAGAGGCAAGAGGAATAAGTTTTATAATATGTGGGATATTTCAGCAATTTTCTGATTCTTCCATCTTAAGTATTTGGGGTTAAATTTTTGAAGGCTTAAAAAAACTGTTAGCATTCATTGCTGTTTATAGCATATAGTTATATTTTAGTTTGTTTACTTAAAAAAAGCATTTTATAATATGTTTTAATGCAATTGGATGATAACTCTAATGGGTTACTACTGAAGTATGAGATGCTTTCCAGAATCACAAAATAATATACCATTTTGTGGAAAGCGATGAACCTTCCAGAACCGAAAGAGAGTTCTATATAAGAGCCTATTTAGAGTTTCCCCTGGTGGCGCAGCAATTGAGCGCTGGGTTGCAAGGCTGCCCACAGCCTCTGCAGTGCTGGTTCGATCCCTGGCCACTGGCAAGGGTCCCACAAAAAAAAAAAAAAAAAGAGCCTATTTAGTAAAGCAATGGTCCTGGGAGAAGCAGAATACAGATAGCAGGCACTGGATCTTTGCTCAGAGGGAAGAAGCAGGAAACAGTTCTTTTTAGGCAGGGTGTTGCTTATTTAATTCATATTTACTAGTCCTCATTGTTTTAAATGACTCTAGAAATGAGATTCACCTTTACACTAGACACGTGTGCCCTCAGAGAACAGTCCTCTTCCTGAGAAAAGCCACAGCTCTAAGAGCTACAAGTTCTGCATTTGCCAGTAGCTGGGCCTTGAGAGGCTGAGGCAGATGAGGAAGGTGGCTGGACTGGCTCGGTGGGTCTCTGACTAGTTCATGGTAACTTATCGAAAAGTGAAAGTAACTGGCTGAAGAATTTTTCTTAACCAGGGGAATGATCCCATCAGATTAGCATCTAGAAGAATTGTTTTATCTTGCCATATATTAAGAGTGAACAACTTTTGTTGCCTAATGAGGACACTATCAGGATAACAGCTGGCCCCAGACTTCAGGCACTGACAGGGACAGCAGAAACTGACTCATACAGTTGATACAGAGATAAGCAATTGGCAGGGAGCCAAGGAGAGGCCGTTGCTTGGCAGCAGCGGCAGCATTAAGGAGTAAGTCCAGGCTGCCATCTGGGCTAGAGCTCTGGCACCAGAGGAGGAAGGAAACAGCACACACAGAAAAACAAAGTATTACAAGAACCTGTAGAGGTTTTTCCCCAGTTATATTACTGTTTCCTTAAAATATATGCGCATTGGGTACATTTCAAAGTGAGAAGCTTAAAGCAATTAAAATATTCACAACCCTTAGAAATGTTTTCTGTATACAGCTTCTCCCATTAGCCATTAGTGAAGCAGCTGTTAAATATTAATACTTATGTGGGGGGCCTCCCCGGTGGCACAGCAGTTGAGCGCTGGGCTGCGAAGCTGCCCGCAGCCTCTGCAGCGCCGGTTCAATCCCCGGCTGCTCCCCGGCCACCAGAGGAGGGTCCCACATGGCGCGCAGACCTCTCCTGCCGCCCGCTGCTCCCCCCAGCAGTGTGCTTCGGTCCTTCTGCCTGCTCTGCTCCCTGCTCTGGCTCTGGTGAATTCTCTCACCCTCCCACGATTCTGACTGTACCTAGTGCTTGTATAAATAAATAAATAAATCTTAAAAAAAAAATCAGTAAAGAAAAAAATATTTATGTGAACATAATTGACCTTGAATTATTTAGTGCCATTCCAGATCAAAGGTCAATACATATTTGTTTTAGGCCTCCCTGGTGGTGTTGGAGATATGTCTCAGCGCTGTCAAGCTATCACCACTGCTGTGGCCTGAGTTTGATCCCGGCCAGGGAGGTGACCCCCATGGCGCAGCAAACCTCTCCTGCCTCGCCTGCTGTTCCCCGCGGCAGTGTATTTCAGAAGATCCGCCTGTTCTGCTCCCCACTCTGTCTCTGGTGAATCCTCTTACCCCCACACACCTCTGGCCTACACCCCAGTTCTTCTATGCATAAATAAATAAATCTCTGGAAAAATATACATATTTGTTTTGTTTTTGTAGGACAACTTATAAAGATAGTATGCTAGTCTCTGTTATAAAAATGAGTTGCTAGAAGCTATGAACTTTTTCTGTTTTCCCAGATGAAACATTAGATGCCAGGAAGTTTCTATGTGGACCTTATGGATGAATTCAAGAATTTGTCTTAACTTTTCAGATTTAATTTATTTCTCATCCATGAATACTTTATATCAATTCTATTTTTTAAACTGAGGATACGAAAGTCTACATCAGAGATGAATTTTAATTTTTTGAGTTTGTTTCAAGAATATTTTCTTTGATAAACCCATTTAATAGAGGGGCCTCCCCGGTGGCACAGCGGTTGAGCGCTGGGCTGCGAAGCTGCCCGCAGCCTCTGCAGCGCCGGTTTGATCCCTGGCTACCAGGCGAGGGTCCCACATGGCGCACAGACCTCTCCTGCCGCCCGCTGCTCCCCTCAGCAGTGTACTTCAGTCCTTCTGCCTGCTCTGCTCCCCACTCTGGCTCTGGTGAATTCTCTCACCCTCCTGCGCTTCTGACTGTGCCCAGTGCTTGTATAAATAAATAAATAAATCTTTTTTAAAGAATCCATTTAATAGAATTTTAAACTTAAGTTGTTTGTAAGTTAATAAAAATTTTCATTCTAGAGAATTAAAATGCTTCTCCGGATGTTCAGAGCGGAGGGCCTGCTGCTCTCCTGTTCCCTCCACTCTGACTGAGCTATTGCTCGTGGCTGACACTCCACACTTCCTCCTCCGCAGGTGATAGCTAGAGTCCATAGTCATAATATGTTGCTATTTTATTGTTTTATTAAGAGAATACAATAAGAACCAATAAAAAAAATCACTTTCAGGTACTAGGCATTCGCTCAGCAATTCTTTACTGGACTATTCCAGCAAACAAGCTGCCTCTCTTAATAAATTAGAAAAAATCAGGATTTGTCTCTCTTTTACAAATTATTTATCTCCTTTCACAGCAAATGATGAGCCTCCACTTAGCAAGGCTGGGCAGGATGTGGTTTTGCATCTGCCCACAGACGGGGTGATTTTGGATGGGCGAGGGAGCACAGATGACCACGCCATCATCCGATATGAGTGGACACTGCTGCAAGGTGACCCCTCGGTGGACATGAAGGTAACTCATGTTGTCATTGTAACGAAAGCTAATGTTTCAGTGACGTGGTCTTTGGTAATGACCAGATTTTTGTTCCCAAAATGTCCATAAGCTCGCAGAAGAGGTATACAGTGGGTAACGAGGTGTACATAGTATTCCACTGATTGTTATACGTAGTATTCCACTGATTGTTGAAAATCATTGAGTAAACACTGACACTGATCCTTTGATTTGAAGCTTTCCCTTGTTCTGCCTGCTTTTTATTGACTTCTCCAGATATTAAAACACCTCGAGGAAAAGGATACATGCTTTGTTTTAATGATTCAGATTGTTTTCAATTTTAGAAATATGAAAAATACAAAGAGGAAGATAATAATAGAATGAACTCATTCTTCACATGAGCCAGAAGGCAACGTGCTAATCTACAGGGAGGCTGCCCAAGATCTTTGAGTCCCTGAGTGAGGACCTTAGGAGGTTAGGAGGTCCATGCTGCTTTCCATCAGCCTTAGCTGGGCTGAAGCTGGACTTAATCAGCTCACGGGTCCAGTGGCCCCATACAAACAGTGACTCTTGCAGGAGGCAAATGGCTCTTTATTGACCTTTTCCGGACTCCCTCTAAGTAGGGTTATTTTTTGGCTTAGGCAAATTAACGCCATCCAAACACTTCAGTAGAGAGGTGGGCAAAATCTGTTTTGGTTTGTGCTAGTGGCCGTAATGTAGTACTAAAGACTGGGTGGCTTAAACAACAAAAATTTATTTTCTCACAGTTCTGGAGGCTGGAAGTCTAAGATTAAAAAGAGAGAGAGAGAAGACTAATAAGAGTTGTTGACCTTGAGAGTAAATGACCTTTGCTAGGCCAGTTAGTGCATTTTACCAGCACAGTCCTAGGGGATGGTGGGTAGAGGATAATTGGAAAATGAGCCCGTGGGAACAGCAAACCAGCACAGACAACACTTTCAAGAAGTTAAGTTGAAATGGGAAGGAAATACAACTGTGATTAGAGAAGATCTGGGAGGTTAGGTTGTTTTTATGTTGTTGTTTTGTTTTTTAGGGCAAGAGAAATTTGAGCAGAGCTATTAATACCAGAACTGACTAAAGAGGAAGTAATTAATAGAAGGAGCCAAAGTCAAGGGCTAGGTTTGGGGGTGGCAAGAGGCGCCCCTCAGCTTGGGGCTGCAGGAAAGGGCTCTCCCATTTTATTTTTGATTGTTGTCGAAAGAGTTTTTACTACAATTGAGGGACAGAGACGCAAGCACAGTGCCAGGATGGGGTGATGGTGCAGAGTGAGGACTCTACCATCCTCATTTTCTCCCCAGGTAGGTGAGGTCGCCTGAAGGGGGGGCGGGGGCACATGTCAGGTGTGGAGCGTAGGGAGACTGGACATGGTTGGAACAGATGCTGCTAAGGACGAGGGAAGGATTGTCAGTCCTGGGATTGGCTCCTAAAGTTAGAAATGTGAATTCAAAGGGTGGCCTGCGAGGCTGTCGTGGGACGTGGTGCCGGCTTAGGGGTCCTGGACTCTTCATGAAATGTGATGCTGCCCATCTCCCATCTCGGCGACAGGTGCCTCGGTCAGGAACCGTGAAGCTGTCCCACCTCCAAGAAGGAACCTACACCTTCCAGCTGACGGTGACGGACTCGGCCGGGCAGAGGAGCTCCGACAACGTCTCGGTGACGGTGCTTCCCACGGCTTTCTCGCCGGGAGGTGAGCAGAAAGCCCTGCCCGCCCATTCACGGGGCCCAACAGAAACCTGGCTGTTTTTGGGAGGATGGCTTTGGGTCTGCGTCATGTTTTTTGTTTATCTTTTTGTAAGACCTTCAATAGAAAAGAACTTTAATAGGATTACTGCACATAAAGAGAGACAGGATATGGTTTCCCAATGAAACACGCAAAGTTACCCATTCCCTTGTGGGTGAATGCCCAGCCAGACAGGTTTGGCCCAAAGTGGAGCCGCTGAGGCTGGAAAGCTCGCCAGAAGTCTAAGACACCTTCTGGCGGGAGCCACAGGAAAGGGACAGAAGGGGCAGGCAAGTCTTACAGAAGGAGCAAAATCAAAGTACAAATCAAGGTAACTGCTGCTGTTGGCCTCTGCAAGTGTCTCATCTGAGTGTTTCTACATGTCTCCTTCCATGTCTCTCCTCCCTGTGTTCCCCAAGTCCCAGGTGCCAGTCCAAGCCAGACACCCTGCCACCCCCTACAGAAATTAGGGAAGGACTGTTTTAGTACCGCCCAGGTGCCTGGGAGAGAGCAGCGCTTGCGCTGAAGCAAGTGGCTCTCACCTCTCCAGCCGCTGTTTGCCCTGGTTGGTTAGGTCAGTTTTTCAGGTCAGTTTTCCAGAACTCCAGAGATAAATTGCCAGTTGTGTGTGTCTGGCCTTGTCCAAGGTAACAATAACATGCATTTGAAATGGCAGGGAGTGAGTGAGTCACATGATTACTGAAAGTCCACTTGGGTTAAAGGTCTTCTGGACATAAGTCTATATAGACAATAAGAAGAATGGCTCTAGTACTAACTGCTGCTGGGAATCACTCACTGGTTAGACTGGGATATTAAAGCCAATCAGACACCACATAGAGACGTTGAAACTGGAGGCAAGGAGGCCAGGTGTGTGTCCTCTTATCTCTTTTGCTTTTGCAGATAATGACTCAGCTGTTTTGGGAACTAAGGGCAGCACCTTCTAGGATAAACACTCAAGCATGTAAACCCTGCATATGTGACAGTAACTTGGCTCAGCTTTAGATGTAGAGGCTTGCATGTTTCCAAACACTGGGAAAAATAATCTATTCAAATAAACCATCAAATTCTTCCAGTATGTTCTAGATCAGTGGTCTCCAAATAGAATCCCGCAGAGGTAGTGAGGGGTAGTCAGACACTTAGGTTTTTATTTTAATCTCCTCTTTGAATGTTTCAGTATATTTTACAATGTTCACAATGGGTTGGTACAATAGTGCATGCACATTATTTTCAGATTGGAGATGCATGTTCACTAATATTATTGATCAGGAGGCATAGTCTAAAACGCCTGGAGATCACTCATCCAGACACGATGGATTTGTTACAAATATGAATCTATCTCCAAACTACCAAGCCACAAGACGTTGGGAGGTCTGGGGTTTTCATGTTAGGTATCTAAGAAACCTGCGCAGTAACTGTGAACTTGTGTTCTCCCTTTCACTTTCCCCCTAATTCCTTCCTTCCCCCTAATTCTCCTTTCTGCAGCTTCCTTCCTTCTTTCTCAGAGTATGGCTTCCTTCTTCCTCTTCTTTCTCAGCAACTTTTACCATTTTTCTTTACTTTCTTCTTCCTCCTGGATCAAGAGAGCTTCACATGGGACTCCTTTCCTTCCAGGATCTCTCTGGGCACGTGTACCACACCAGCCACTTGTCTCGGTGAAAGTCTTCATTGACCACTCCCCATGCCCTGAGAGAATTGCCCAGTCCGTTCTGTCCCTATAAATTTTTATGACCTACTTCCAGCCTGATGCCTTACCTCTGAGTCACCAGTGCCAGAAGGTGACTCAGATGTTAAGTAGCCAAGTCTGTGAAGTTGGCTTAACCTGGAGTGAGAGGGTGATACCTTTCAAGAAAACACATGTAGCATTGTGGATTTAAAATTCCCAAGAGATCTAAAAGGGAGAGAATTTCTTTGTTTGAAGAAATAAACTTATACCAGATATTAGCTAAAGATTCTGTTAATTTTTTATAGCACCACCAAGGATGTTTGGTAGTCCACAAATAGGGTCCAGTTGCACAAAGTTAATCCCAGTACAAATGTTTATTAAGGAATCAAGAATTCGAAACACAGCATGTATAAAATGTCTATAATAAAACACAGTCATGGGCCTCCCTGGTGGTGCAGGGGTTAAAGACACAGAACTATCAAGCTATCCCCCACCACTGCAACATGAGTTTGATCCCTGGCCAGGGAGCTACCCACATGGCACAGCAGACCTCTCCTGTCTCGCTTGCTGCTCCCCTCAGCAGTGGATTTCAGTAGATCCGCATGGTCTGCTCCCTCTATCTCTGGGGAATCCTCAACCCCTACACCTCTGGCCTATACCCCAGTTCTTGTATGCATAAATAAATAATTCTTTAATAAAAAAATAATCAAACATGGTCATGCAGGGGGTGTAATGGCAGTAGGGGGCCTGCTGAGGAGAGAATGGGATGAAGGTGGGATGAGACCCCTAAGGGAGGAAACTCAGGTCTGGAAGGGCAAGACCAGAGCTGCTGTATTTTCTGTCTCCACCTCTTAGCCGCATCAGCTTGACGCTGTGACCAAAATCCATTCCTAAGAGTGAAGTCAGGAGTGTGAAGAAGAGACACCCTAACCCTCCCAGAACCTATTGCTCCAGCTCAGACTCCCAGCTGTTTGCAGATGGTTTGCATCTCTTTACCTGAGAGTCTTCATCATAGATTTAGTCTGCTCATTCCACCCAGCCGAGCCTTAACCCCCTGCTCTCCTGTGACTTGAGACTTCTTTATAAACAGGATGCTCCAACACTTGCTCACGCTACCACTTCTTTTGTGACGATGGCTGTTGCATTGACATCACGCTGGCTTGTGATGGAGTGGAGCAGTGTCCTGATGGCTCTGATGAAACTTTCTGTCAGAATCGTGAGTCAGCCGCATTGCATTTTCAAGTAAAGGGATAGAAGGAATGTCCCTAATCTCGTAATAAAATGCAAACTCGATATCGTTCCTGTTCCCTCTCATGCCAGGTGTAACTCTACATGAATGAGCTATGACTTAAAAGAAAATTTACTGTGAGCTTGTAGTTCAAATTGCAGATGTCGAATTTTTTATATTGCTGTTTTTAAGAAATTACTTCTAGCTTTCCAAAAGCTTCTTTCCCATCCTAAAAATGCTATATAGCATTTGCTTTTTAAAAAACTGAAGTGAGTTTGCATTTTGTTTTGATGAGTTTTAGAGAAATTATGACACACTGTGTGCAGCTAAGTCCTATCTGCAAAGTCGTTTTATAATGTCAAAAACATGCACCCCAGGAAAGAGGAAGGGCTGGAAGTACTGCCTTGAAGATGCAGAATTTCACAACATGACATTGAACTTTTGACTCAGTCACTTTATGTGTCACTTTTAGAAAGATCATTCTTGGAAGAAGAGAGAACAGAAAACTAGAGTGAAAGTTTTCCCTGGGGCTCTGACCTGTCTGAGACAGATGGGCTGCTATCCCCAAACATGCATGAATTAAAGTCTACCACAAATTCAGTGGTTTTAGTTAAAGTTTACAAAAGAAATTCCACAACTAATATAGCTCTTCCATGCCTCAGTGAATCTCGAGAGGAAGCTGGTGACCCACACAGCCACTACCCAGCCAAAAACCACAGGTCCAAGCAAAGATGCAGGAAAGAGCTTCTTGTCAGAAAAGCCCCAGAAAATCACTGCCTTGAAGCAGCCACCTGTGTCATCAAACACAGAGAAGAGGAATCATTCTGCTTTTTGGGGGCCAGAGCAACTAAGTGATCCCATCATGTCAGGTAAGGACTTGAAGCAGATTCTCCACAAAGAGCTTCATTTTCTATAGCAAAACCTGGCTCAAAATTAAGATTATATTAGCAAGATGTTAAAGGAATAACTTAAAAGAAGGGAGTTAAAATTTGGCCAAAGAGAAAAAAGCACCTGAAGTTGCACTGATTATTTATGGTAAGGATCACCTACTTACTAATGCAGTCACACCTGTATACATACTCCAGAGATACCAATACATGCAGCAGTAATACCCATATTAAGAAAACTAATGCATTTGCTTTTTAGGGTTTTTTTTTAAAGATTTATTTATTTATTATACAAGAACCGGGGTACAGGCCAGATGTGCGGGAGGGTGAGAGGATTCACTAGAGACAGAGCGGGGAACAGAACAGGCAGACTGATGAAATACACTACTGAGGGGAGCAGCAGGCATGACAGGAGAGGTCTGCTGTGCCATGTAGGATCCTCGCCGGCTGGCCAGGATCGAACCGGCGCTGCAGAGGCTGCAGACAGCTTCACAGCACTGTGCTCAACCTGCTGCGCCACCAGGGAAGACCTAAAATTTTTTTATATATTAATTTTTAAAATTTTTTACATCATTGTTCATTGCTAATATCTTTTTGTATTCAAACTTTGCATACATTTCACTGAAATAATTTGTCACTATTTTAATAACTTTTACTAGGACAACTCCCTTGTAGAAAACAGAAGATACAGCTATTAAAAGAAAAGGATTAGGGAGAGGGATCAGAGGGAGGGAGGGAGGGAGGAGCCCAGGGGTCTGAGGTGATGGTGCACGGGCGCCTTGGGGAAGGAAACTCTATGGGGACCACACCTGAGGGGGTGGGAGAAGCAAATATTGTTTAAAAATGAGCAATGATGTAAAAAATAAAAAATTTAAAAGAAAAAGGGGAAGGATTAAGACGCCACCCTTTATTAAACACAATTTTCAAAATTTTGAAATATTGCCTTCCTATCTTTGCTTTATCCACTTTGTAGGCTGTCAGTGCCTTACAGATATGTGAAAATATTCCATGAAGGCGTTTTCTTTTTTTTTAAGATTTGTTTATTTATGCACACAAGAGCTGGGGTGCTCAGCAGTGCATTTCAGTCAGTGAAGGCGTTTTCTTTTTGGAAGGCTGGGGACGCCCATTTCAGGCTGCTTTGGGGCGAGCCCTGGTCGATACCGCCACCTACGGGCGACTGGGTTGCTCGGCCCGGGTTTTCTCTACCAAGAGTCACCTGAGAAACCGAGTAGCGGAGACCCGGTGTTTGGGGCAGGGCGGGTGAAGAATGGTTGGAGAGAACTGAGTTCTGGGAGGTGCGGCTGCAGGAGCTGAGGCCCGTGAGATCCTGGGCGAACCAGGAAGTTGCTTCCTATGACTCATTTCTCTCTCTCTCACAAGAGCTGGGGTACAGGCCAGATGTGTGTGTGTGTGTGTGTGTGTGTGTGTGTACACACTGCTGAGGGGAGCAGCGGGGGAGACAGCAGAGGTCTGCTGCGCCATGTGATGTGGGTTTCTCCCTGGCTGTCCGGGGATCGAACTCGCGCTGCAGAGGCTGTGGATTGCTTCATAGTGCCGTGCTCAACCCCTTGCACCACCAGGGAGGCCCCAACCTCATTTCTCTTATCATTTAATAAGGGATTTTTTTTTAATAAGGGATTTTAATCTGACAACCACAAAGCTCCCTCTAACACTGACCATCTGTTTCAGGAACGCTAAGCAGCCCACACATACCTTAACACACACCACACACACACCTCAAGACACACACACATATTCCCCTCCACAAACACACAGACACACACACACCCCTCGCACTCCTTCAGCGCTTCTCTCTGCTGGATGTTGCTGGGTGAGTCCAGCCTTCTCTCCTGGGGAGTGAGGACCCCAATTATGGATCCTTTTGAAAATAATGATCCAGGTGGCCACCACCAGTTTTAAAAGTATTTGTCTCTGTTTTTGTCCTTTTTGAGAAGGTGACTTTGACTTAGGCGATGACCACGTAAGGAGCAGTGGAGTTTCACAGATGCAGAGGGGGAGCAACCAGTTAATACTGAGAGTATATTGCCTTTTCCTGATGATTAAAGTCATCTGTTCACTGCAGAAAACTTAAAAAATGCAGAAAAATATGAAGAAGAAAATTAAAATCATCTAACAAAACGTACCATTAACATTTCTGGCAGTTTCCATGGGTTAATTTTATTTACATATATACATATTTAGAATGATATTTTTACAGAACTTTTATATTTCAACTTAGAGGCATTTTTATGTGTTATTAAATATCCACCAAAAAGACGATTTTTGAAAAATCCAGGGTGAAAAGCAGGTAGAAGAGACCTTTGGAAATGTGAGCGAGGGCCCTGGCAGGAGGTTTCTCTTTCCACGGCAGCTTTTGTGCCTCAGGTGAGGCGTATGGAGGCAGCTGTCCTGCTGGAGGGAGGCACCTGTGAACTGAGATTCACTGGTCACAGTGGAGACCATCAGAGGGTGGCTTCAGGAACGCGTGTTGAGGGCAGCAGGCGCACTTTGACGGCTTCCTTCTTTGGCAAATGCTGTCTATACAGCTATACTAGGCAGTGCCTTTAAGCACCCTCCCCTGTTCTGGGGCATTTAGAGAAATGTTGGTCCTGGAAAAGGACTCCTCTGCCTTCAAGGTTTCAATCTGAAAGTTTTGGCCCTATAATGGGAATGACATAATTTTGTATTATTTGAGATCTACAGGTGGTTTATGGAGTCAATTCTGCCTTATAACCTGGCCCACTTAGGTCAGTCCCAAGGAAAAATTTGGTTTGAAACAAAAGGACAGTTAACTTTGTCTGGAAATTAGTTGAGTACCTCGAGCATTCTGATAGGATTAAATTTGTGCTCACAACCAAATAAAAATATATACAAAAAAGCCATCTTTTTCTTAACCTGTCCTCACCAATTTAGAACTCCTTTTAACTAACCTTAGAAAGTTGTAGAGGCTTCCTCAAGGCTGACTAGTATAAACAATAGAAAAAAATGTACAAAGAGAATGTCAGTGAGTTTTGCAGCACAGAGGAGTTTATGGTATAAATAACATCGCCAGTGGGCCTCCCTGGTGGCGCAAGGGGTTAAGTCTCAGCACTATGAAGCTATCAGCAGCCACTGCGGCAGAGTTCCATCCCCAACCAGGGAGCTACCCACATGGTGCAGCAGACCTCTCCTGTCTCGCCCGCTGCTCCCCTCAGCAGTGTATTTCAGTCAGTCCACCTGTTCTGTTCCCCACTCTGTCTCTGGTGAATCCTCTCACCCCACCCCCCGCACCTCTGGCCTGTACCCCAGTTCTTGTATACATAAATAAATCAAATAAATCTTTAATAAATAAATAACACAGCCAGTATAAGCAGACACGCAGGCTGAGATGCTGGCTGTGACCTGCTCAGGGTGTTCCGTGCAGGAGCAGTTTCTCAAGCACGCCCCCTCTTATGTACTTTTGTAGAAACGCAGTGTGGTCTGCCAGTGAATAGTGAGAAAGGACAGTTCTGTTGTCTCTGTTATCAGGTGGTCACGAAACTATAGTGCATTCTGGCAGACAGGCCCATATGATAGCTGCTTTCCCAGCTGGTATTTCCAGCTTCCTTCCAGAACACCCCTGCATGTTTCATGGCCACTATTAATAAATGGAACTATTAATAAAATGACCCCCCAACCAGCTTCAGTTTCTTCTCTGCATATGTAGCTACTCATGGTAAACATAACACAGTCAGTCTTTCCAAAGAGAAAAGTAGCTTCCTAAGACATTAACTCTTCTAGAAGGATCAAAACACATTATTTGCAAAAGCAGATGATGTAATTGTCTTGTGTTGTTCTGACTCCCACCCTGGGGGGAACCTGTGACAGGATGTGTGGAAGTGAAGCATTTCTCTAAGGCATTCCATATGCTCAAGTCTAGCAAAAGTGAGTCAGGAAATCTGGGAAATCACGACGAATTCTTTCATGAAACGGAGAAAATAGAAACTGACATTTCAGATACCAAGAGAGTGGGGCGAGTCACCCAGGAAACTGCAGAGTGCCTGGCAGTTGTCCTCTCAAGGCTCCTGAGCACGTCGCCCTCTTCCTGACACCTGGCTCTCCCATCTCCCGCGCCCTGGCTTCCTCTCCCAGGGGCTGAGGGCATTTTTAAGAAAGTACTTCTCAACTTCAATAACTGAAGATTCAAAAGGAACTTTATGAGTTTTCAAATGAACCCACCTCCAAGGCAAGGTCCCCTTTCCAGGATCAGTTAACCTGTTTCCTTACTGCATCCCTAAGAAACTTTGTCCCAGACGGGGATGGGGGCGGAGGGATGCAGTTACTTTTTCCTACTTATTTATCCACTTTCCTTTGCTAATTCATTTATATTGATTTATCAAATTACACAGTGGGGAAAGATCTGGAGAGTAAGATAGGGTGAGGTTAGCACCCAAGGCAGTCAAGTGTGTAAGAACAGGCATTGAGTTTAGTACATATTTTTTAAAGAGCATATTACAAGGGCACTGGGAGTAATTGTGTAAGTTCGTGGCTGATCAAACAGAAGGAAACAGGATACCACATCATTTTTATTTCAAAAAAATGCAAGATTCTCTTGAAAAGATATTTTATAGAGACAATATTTTGCTAAAATTTTAGTTTAAAAGTTAAGCTAAAACGATGACATTTAAGTGAGGTGAGCATAATCTCTCAACAAAATTAAACAAGTGATCATAGCTTAATTCCAATTATTAACTACATTAATAATTAATAATTCAGTTCTTAATGGTGTAATTATTAGGAGGCAGCATAAACTTCCAAGAATACTAATATATATATATGTATATATATATTTTAAGACTTTGTTTCTGATTTCTTCACATTGTTTCCTGAAATCAAACAGGACTTTGTCCTGTTAAAATGTCATTGTTACTATACCTCTTCTGCATATATTTTGATTTTGTGGCTATTTTAGTGCTAATCTTTTGCCTCCTACTTAAATAGAAGCTCTATAAGAGAAGAAACTGTGGTATCCATCTTGGTATTGTTCCCATATATTTTTTCACTGAGTGAAGGACTAATCAATTAATCCTCTGGATAGAATTGGAGATCAATCATTTTGAGCATTATGTTTTTATTCCCAGCTCACTATTTTGTAAAAGTAGGCCATGTTGTTCCACTTCCAATTTATGATTGGAGAGGATACTCACTGAGTGCCTGGCATCGTGCACTCCCGTCATGTGCACTGGGTAGACATCATTATCCCCACTTAATGGATGAACAGAAAGGCCAAGAACTTAGATCACAGCTCTCCTGCCCACCTGTGACTATGCGGGTGTTTCTTTCTTTCTTTTTTTTTAAAGATTTATTTATTTATGCATTCAGGCCAGAGACGCGGCGGGGGAGGTGGGTGAGAGGATTCACCAGAGACAGAGTGGGGAACAGAACAGGCAGACTGACTGAAATACACTGCTGAGGGGAGCAGCGGGTGAGGCAGGAGAGGTCTGCTTCGCCATGTGGGTTGCTCGCCGGCCAGCCGGGGATCGAACTCATGCTGCAGTGGCTGCAGATAGCTTCATAGTGCGATGCTTAACCCCTTGCGCCACCAGGGAGGCCCTGCACTTGTTTCTTTTTACAAACCTATTCCCTTTGCAAAACAGGAGCGGCAGCTCTCCTGTCCACCCGGGATTTAAGCGGGTGCCTCTCTTTTTCTCCAGCCCCAGCAGAACGTTGGCATATGCGGCAATCTCACTGTGTGCTCAGGGGCCTTCTGTCTCCGCTACAAAGAGGGGGCATCATCTAAGGCTCTCCTAAGATCTGCTTGTTTGGTACTTTCTGTTGGGACAGTAGAAGCTCTGAAGGAAGGAATCCAGTAGCACTGGAGTAGTTGGGTTTGGCTCCCTGGAGGGCTACCTGGTCCTCCATTATGACTTTCATGGGTACCTTCACACACACACACACACGCACACACACACACACTCACACACTCACACACTCACACATACACTCACATACTCAATATAACTCTATTGGTGTAGGATGAATATAATACAGACTGGATTCAATTTGCCATTCATTATTATTATATTCACTATTTTTAAAAGAAATTAAAAACTTTTTGTGAGCTCTCTCTTCTCTCTCTCTCTCTCTCTCTCTCTCTCTCTCTCTCTGTCGTGTCGCTTCTTCTGCAGTCACACCACTCATCCTCTCACTGCCAAGGCCATGACGTTCATCCCCGCCTCTAGGCTCAGGTGCGCACACCTACACTCCAGGTGCCCACACTCAGGCACGCAAGCCCCGCGCCCACGCTCCTAAGCTCCTTCTGCGTTAAGATTATCAAGGCCACAGGTGATAGCCACAGAGGCTAGAGTGGTAAAAAGCCTGATTAATTCATTACCCCACGGAAGGGTGGGGGCTCGCAGCACTACGGCGAGGCGGACAGTATGGAAGTCAGCTTGAAAGGTAAATGTGGTTCTCTAGCTTACAAGAGATTGTGCTCTTGGCATCTCTCTGATGTTCCATCAGCTCAGTGTTTATGAAGGCAGCCCAAAGTCCTGGCACCCATAGGCCGGCTGGCACGGTGCTCTCAGAGCAACAGAGAGAGTGGTGAGGCTGAGTCCGGGCCCAGAGCCTCACGGATGGGGCGGCTGTGTGAGTGGGATGAGGAGCCTCTGCAGATGCTCTGGCAGGAATGTTGGAAGCAGAAAGGCCGAGGAGGAGGCTCCTGCTGTGCTCCACAGCGGAGATGGAGACCTGGCCGTGGAGGTGGGGACAAGGAGAGGGCGGGAGTGGGGGAATTTTGGGGGATACCGTGGAAAATGGGGCTGAGGTGAGAAAGTGAAGGAACATGCCTGAGTGCCTTATAGGCTTGTTTTTTTAAAGACAAACCTTCCTTAACTGTTGTGCTTTCCACGGTCTGAAGTCCAAGACCACCCCGACTCTCCTACCCTTCTCTGGGACAGGATGGGAGGTGGCACAGTGTTCCCCCGCTTCCCGACCAGTGGTTTTGTACCAGCCACACACTCTGCTCTAATAATTGGTCACGCTTGTTATCTGGCATTTTAGTTTTAAACATAGGCCTCTGTTTTACTAAGGAAATAAATCCTGACCATCCTAAAAAAAATTAAATAAAGTTGTTGTAGAGTAAGTAAAGTATCAGGCTTCTCTGCCCTCCTGCCATCAGGATAGATGATGGATCCTTGCGTCCTGAATGCATGCCTGAGGGCGGGCACCTGGAGTGGGGTGTGGGCATAGGTAGATGGGATTCACCTGGGCTGAGACTGGGCTTATAAGGGCAGTGTCACGGGGACGCCAGAAGAATAACCACGAGAGCAGAGAAGCAGAGAAGGCCGGAGAGCCCAGAGAGAGTGAAGACTTGCTGGGGGCTGGGAGGCCTGCCAGCCTCCCGGCCCCCCGGCACCCCTGCCTACTGTGTACCTGGTAATCCCAATAAAAGCCTGAAAATCCGCTGAGGACTCCAGGACTCTCTCTCTCCTTTACCCCGTCTGCATAGAATCATAGAAAACCTGCTCTTGCCCTTCCTGCCCCCTTCAGTTGTATTTTCATGTCTGTTTCCTGAAGCTTCTGATGCACTTCAATATATGTTCTATTTGTCTTCTGCAGGTAGTGGCTCTTCAGAGAAGAACAGAAAAGAGGACAAATATATTTTTGAGTCGAAGAGCAATCAAGGAGGAAGGGAACACCCAGCCCCAGAAACAGGTAACGCCTACCTTGGAAATTCATTGCAGAGTTTAAACATTTGTAGAACCATGTACCTTCCAGGTGAGGATGTTAGATGAAGCTGCAAGAGCTTAAGACAAGAGCTTTGACCTATGGATCAGAAGAACTGGATTCTTACTGCCTGGTCATGCTTAGTCTTGGGGCTCTTGAGCTAGCACCAGTATAGCTGTGGGCCTCTGCTTCCTCTTTCATAGACTTTTTGATTGGACTAGATAATCACAGTCTCTTCCCGGTGTGACTCTATGGAAATTACTCACCACATTGTAGTTAGGAACACACATTCTAGAATCAGATGCCAAGGTTTCATATCCTTGCTCCACCAGTGAACTCTTTGGCCTTGGACAGATGATCTTATATCTCTGGATCTTAATATCCTCATTAGTAAGATGAAAATAACAACCATACCTGCCTCACTGAGTTGTCAGGGAGAACAAATGGGATAATTAATAGAAAGCAATCAGCATGCGGCTTGGCTCTTACAATGAACCGTGTAAATGATGGTTATTAGGGTTATTTATGGCACAACAAGAATAAAGGTCCTAGAGCACCCAGTTCTCACTCTAAGCATTCTAGGGACAAACACGGACACTAGGAATGAGGAAAGGTGTAGGAGGTGGAGTGATTACTTGATAAGTGGAAGAATAATTGTTTCCACAATTCCATAATTTTGGTTATTTCCCATAAATTTGGTTATTTTTAACTAGAAGGAAAACATGTTGACATAATCATGTAGAGAGGCAGGTTTTAGTCTTAAGTTCTACAAACTAATTAGTAAAAGATATAGGAGAACAAAATATGATTCTTAAGTTGTAGATCTAAACATTGAGGAAACTCATTTACTCTTCAGTATTCTCTATCTGAATGAGATTAAATATAATTTTTAAATAGTAGATGATTAAACTAATCCAGATGTCAAATGCCTGGATGCCACCCAAACACCCTGTCCCAAGATAAATAAATCAAAAGGACCCTACCACCCACTGACATACAAGGGAAACCAGGCCTGACCCCATGACCCAGTGATTCCGGAGAGCCTCAGCTCTACGGGCTGGTGCCCTCTCTCACTGCAGATTTTGCATGTCACTTCTAGTCGTATGGACATTATGTCCACTTATTCCCTTAGCTGGTTTCTGAGAAAACTATCATGATGAGGAATTGGACATTTTATTTATTTATTTTAAAGATTTATTTATTTATGCATACGAGAACAGGGATACAGGCCAGAGGTGCAGGGAGTGAGAGGATTCACCAGAGACAGAGTGGGGAACAGAACAGGCAGAGTGACTGAAATCTACTGCTGAGGGGAGCAGCAGGCGAGTCAGGAGAGGTCTGCTGCACCATGTGGGCAGCTCCCTGGCCGGGGATCGAACTCTTGCTGCAGTGGCTGCAGTTAGCTTCATAGGTTGCGTCTTAACCCCTTGCGCCACCAGGGAGGTCCCAGGATTGGAAATTTTAAATCTCAGATTACCAAAACTAAAAAAACATTAAAGAGACAATGTCAACTGAGTATTGAAAAGTCAAGAATGATTTTCAATATTCCAGCAAGTACTTTATGGGAGATTTAATTTTCCTTGACATCAGTGCATTAAACAGCAATCAGATTTGACAGCTCAGCAATGAACATCAATCTGACTTGGCAACAGTCTATGGCCCTTTTATTGGTACCATCTGGTCCCAGACTTGGGGTTGGGATTTTCAGCCACAGCTCCCTTCCCTGTCACTTTAGCACCTGTGCCCGTCTTACACAAGTCACATCTATAGGGGCAGCCTCTAATCCCCTTCCTGCCTGAACAAGCAGAAGCAGAGCTCTCCTGAGATATGTTTTCATATCTTCTATTAATTCCCAATGTTTTGTTGGTTTTCTTCATTTTTTTTTTTTTTCTGTCTGAATCTTTCTACTTTATTGTTGAATACATGTCCACAGGGCCTCCCTAGTGGCCTAGGGGTTAAGTCTCAGCACCATCACCACTACGGCCTGAGTTCCATCCCCAGCCAGGGAGCTGACCCACATGGTGCAGCAGACCGCTCCTATCTCGCCCACTGTTCCCCTCAGCAGTGTATTTCAGTGGATCTGCCTGTTCTGCTCCCCACTCTGTCTCTGGTGAATCCTCTCACTTACCACACCTCTGGCCTACACCTCAGTTCTTCTATGCAAAAAAAAAAAAAAAGTCCACAGGCAACCCCCACTTACCCCGAGCCTCTTCTCTCTAAGAGCTTAGAGAACATTGTAATGCTCCTGTTATGTCTTTTAAAAGATAGAACAGGTAGTTTCAAAAGTCCCTTTTCTCCATCTAAGGAAAAACTCTCTAGTCCTCTGCCTGCCTGTCTCCCGAAAACTACACCCCATCATTTTTATCTCATTCAAGTCTATCCACCCAGACTTCAAGTCATTAAAAACAATCTCATTTAACTTTCGGATCATTCTGTGCCAAGTGGCTCTGGAGCCAGATCCTGGCTCCACCACTGACCTACAAATGGAGAGAAGTCACTTCATTTGTAAAATGGGGATACTAATAGTACCAGCTCATGTGCTGGCTGTGAGAATTAAATGGTGGAAGCCACAAACCCTTAGGACAATGCACTCTTTAGCATTCACTTATGAACTTTGTTTGCCAAGCACTTAGCTCAGTGTGAGGCTTGAGGCTCTTAATGCAGAATGAGTGAGTGAAAGACAATGGCCTAGAATTAACTTATGCAATGAAAATAGTTGCATAAATTGCAGTAGTTCCATAATTTGGCAAGACCCCTGCAGATAAAAATAGTTCACACATATCATCTCAAGCCTGTCTTGACTAGAGAGTAGATCAGACTGAGAGCTTGCTGGATTTGACAACCCAGACTAATCTGGAGCACATCCTGTCACTTCCAGTCCTATCGGCCTCTTGGGGGGGGGGTTCTAGTCTGGGTGTCTGGGGACCAACCGAACAGGAAAGTAATAGGAAGGAGGAAAGAGAATTTTTCCTTTAGCCAAAATTGTATCAGTAAGTTTTGAAGTTGGTTTTTCATAACAGTTCTGTTGGCAAAGAGGAAGAGTAGGTTCCCTGAATTAGAAAAGGAAATAAATATCTTAAAGTTCTAACCAAAACAAGAAGTCAGGAATTAGTCCATATTTATGTTGAGAAACTAAGCATGTATGAATTTAGACGTGTCATCTTGACTGCAGTGAGCGGGTTCTAGGATCACCATGTCTTTAGAGTTGTCTATGTGCGAATGTCAGCAGAGTTAGATAGAAGCATGACCTGGCAGCAACATTTGTATAAACGTCATATACCTTTTGTAGGAACCTGGTGCAGAATTTGGTTTTAAAGAAGTCTGGGTTTGAGACCTTGTAGGGTAAATGAAGTTAATAAGGCTTTTTATGACATTGGCTTCTGTGGCTATCAGCTGAGGCCTTGATCTTGTTAACGTAGAAGGCGTGTGGGTTTGGGACACTTGTGCCTGATTATGGACACCTGAGCATGGGCGTGTGCACATGTGCAAGTGTGCACACCTGAGCCTAGAGGCCAGGGTTATAAAGATGGCTACGGGGGCATGGCTACAAGAGGACGAGTGACTACAGAAGAGGAAGGCCACGAGACGACGCCAGAGAGAGCCCAGAGAAAGCATAAAGATTCCCAGGGGCCTGGGGGGCTCGCTTGGTTGTCTCTTGGGCCGCCCAGTTTCCCTGCCCGCCCTGCACCTGGTTGCCCCACTACACCATTATATGCTAAGAACTGACGGTGAACCTACGTGGGATGGTTGCAAAACAGACCTAGACCTAGACCTGCAACTTAATAAGTTCTGTGCTCTTTAGGCCAATCAGATAATCTCTGCACCTCAGCTAATCTGCAAACGTGACTTTATATTAGTCCCTGCTAATGGAGTTCTTCAGATAAAGCAGTGCAGGCAAAGCTCATCCTGTAGTGAACTGCAGCTGTCATGGTTACGATCACTGACCTCCCCCTGGTTCTCACCTCACACAGGCGCAGTGCTGCCGCTGGCTCTGGGGTTGGCCATCACTGCTTTGCTGCTTCTCATGGTTGCTTGCCGACTACGACTGGTGAAACAGAAACTTAAAAAAGCTCGTCCCATTACATCTGAGGAATCCGACTACCTCATAAATGGGATGTATCTCTAATTGTCATTCAGCTGGGGCAAGGACATATTTCACTTATAATTTATACATATGTTGGGTTCTGATAGTTACAACTGCTTCTGTTTTTTACTGGGCGAAGAAAACTACTGAAAACCCAGAAGATCCTGCAAATCCCAAATCCTTGTATTTATTTATTGTAGAGCTATTTTCCTTGGGAAATATGTGAAATATTTTGAAATTTAGAAGCATCCATGATTAAAGGCTTTTACAAATCAAATTTTGATTTATGTAAGCTATTCCTGAAAATTTATGCATAGCCAGGCAGAAAATTCAGTTATCTCAAGAGGTGATGTTGGAATGAGAGAGTCAGGTAACCCTTTATTTTAAGAAACCAACAGTTGGCCCTGAGAAGCCCTGTCCATTTAATGCACAGTTTTTCCTTGATGCCTGGCTCTCATATTCCTTACTTTAAGCTTCCTGTGCTCGCTTTTCTCTTTTCCCCTTCAAAACTGGTTTCTGAAAATGGATCTCAAGTCAATTTATACCTTCAGTAAGATGTTACCTTGGCAGGAGGTCAATCAGGCCTCGGGGAAAGTGAATGTGGCTTTTTCCTGACACCTCTGACATCATGTCATGTAGGCGGCTGCCTCATGAAGCAGAACTTTGGGAGAAAAACAACTCAGACTTGGGATTACAATAGCTACAACATGGATATGAAATGAGATAAGAAGTCAAGGTGAAGACAAGCATTTTAGCAGAAAACATTTTAACGGAAACTTAGCTGAGGACAAAATGAGCAAGACCGAGCAGTATTTTTATCTATTCAACACTGCTTGTTGCTTCAGAGCTTGGTAGGTCATTCAGATCATCACAGTTTTCAACAATAGTCTGTGTGGATGGAGGACAAAGATGCATCCCTCTGGGAAACCCCAACATCACGTGGGTTTCCGGGCAGAGCTCTGGTACAAGTGCCACGTGTTGAAGGGTCAGCAGGTTTTTCTATCCAATGGATTGAGCCAATTTCCCACTTTATTTACTCAATGTTCTAAAATATTATGTGCAATAAGCCAGGCTTATTATTCCCAGAACATAAAGCAGTTTTGCACAAATCATTCTTTACAGAAAACTAGCATTTTAGTTTACTGTCACTTCCCTTCGATCTGTAGGATTTTAAATTCCTATCACTTAATCCCGGGCGTACACACATTCTAGAAATTATTTTACTGAGATAAAGACTAGTGTGGTGCAGTCTACACTCACATGATGTTCCTATTTACATAAATTTTTTTTTTACCAAGGTGGCAAATAAATCTCCTAAAGTACTTGAAAATACCCTAGAACACTGTATTTTCAGATTGAATCTGAGGTAGCTTATTCCTTATCAAAGGGGTCAGAGATATAACAGGATACATTCACAAATGGAAAGTTCTAAAAAATAATGAAATGGATTTTTATTTAAGAAAGTCAAGCATTTTGTTGACTGTTTAGGCTTGAACAAGGATTTACATTTCTCAAGGGCAGTTTAGAGAGATGACTATGTGAATGACTATGTGATGCTGTACAGTTTGTTTTTATATAGAAGAATGTCACCTATGGCCATACCCAGTAAAATAAACACTAATCAGGCATGCATCTTTTAGCACATCTTTTCTACATAAAGAAACTAAACACAGTTTAGTATTGCTATGGTGTTGAAATACTCAAGATATAGCATATCTGTGTATGAGATTCCTTTAATAAATAGCATTTTTTCTTAAGGCTATTTTTAAACAACTTTTAACATACTTGTAATAAGTTGCTAATAGTTACTGATTGTTTAAATTTACTATATTACCAGGAATTAATCAAATCAACCCTACTTTACAAAGTAGGGAAGGGGACTAGAGAAGGAGAATCAAGTCTTGCACAACATTTATATTGTCAAGCGGACTGAAAGGGTTTTTTTTTAAGTCACCTCACCTGTGACTTCTCATTAAGCATTTACAATTTAAAATAAGTGATTTCTAAGAGAAAGCTGTTCACAATTTACCCCTCAAATATGTCGTTTCACATCTCTGTTCCCAAAAAACGCCCACTTAAAACATCTTCTGAAAACTTTTTTCCTTCAGTCCTTTGTACAAATAGGAACAGCTACTCCTCCATTCTTCACAAGCATTTTAATGTTTCAAGTCCCCCAAGTATTAAATGTGTTCTCTTCTACAGAAAAAAATTAAAATTTGTCTTTCTCCATTGACTTTTCAAAAATCTGATTTGGCTCCACAAATCCCTTTTGCACTTACCCACACCTCCTTTCATTCTCTGATGGTTGTTTTCATGTTGCTCTATACAACCCCAGCATAGAGATGCCTATTTCTATTCCCCAGTTTTGATGTTCATGGCAGACCTGACTGGACTTCATCTCATTAAATACATGGTGGCCTGCCCCAGGATGCTGGCACTGTCCATATCTCCACATATTAATGTAACATAAGAATCTGAGTCTGAAATTCTATTAACTTGGGGTCATTGTTAAATTCTGTTGTCCAAAACCAATTTCATGTTCTGGTTTGCTTTCTTTTTGGAATTACATCATTTTGTTTCCTAGCAGTTACTCCAATTGTTGGTTTTCTTTTCTGAACTCCAGGTTGTCTACAACTATGGGTGTTAAAATGGAAGAATTTCTAGTTTCTTAAACAAAGAGGGAAGGAAAATCTTAAAACTAGCTATTCACAAATGTTCTTTCTAACCTCCCTGTTTTTTTTTTTAAGCAATCGTGTGAATGACTTTTTCTTAGATAATGGCCTATTTTGCCCGACTCAATTCCAGTATTCTAAATATAAAAGCATATTCAAGTTAGAACTAGTCTAGTGGCAAAAACTTAGATAACTTGGTTCAATCTGAAACTACCAGGGTTGCTGATATGGTCAGACACCCCAAAGCTAAATGTGATCAGGAAGGAATGAATGGTCAGAACGGGCCTTCTCCTACATTAGCTTTATCCAATTCTGTTGCCTACAACCTAATCGCTCAGTGGAACCAAGATTCTGGGTGTTTTCCCTAGAAACCACAGTGAAGTGTTCAGCTATGGAGATTCAAATATAAATGTCCTCAGCTGCTATAGGTCCTTGGATTGCTGCACACTCAAACTTAAAATGTCCTTAGAATTGCCATCGCCTGATCCTTTCTGTGATGCACATACTGTTGGGACACTCTACCTGAGTGAAAATGAGTTCCTCAGCTCCAAGTACTTCCTCTCATATTAGGAAAGGGAAGAGAATGACACAGGGAAAGCCCCTGGTCTAGTATAGGACTCTGGGAACTGGAAGTCAGAGGCTATTGTGACTTCCCACCAAGCAGGGGAGTGCTTCAGAGTCCTACATCAAACACCACAAAGTCAGAAGAAACCTAGGGTAGGAAACCAGTAACTAACATTAGTTACAGCAATGATTATCAGAATTGTTTTCCTTTTTATGACATTACAATACACAAACTTGCTTGGGTCCCATGGGTCACCTAGGTTTCTTGAAGCAGGATTTTCTAACTTGCACTCTATTCGAGTCACCCCTATAAGTACAATGAAGACAAAACATTCTTCCTGAGGAATGATGGAAGTCAAGAGAGATGAAACTCAAATCTGATCAGGAATTCATTTGTTAATCACTGAGTATAGTTCTTTGAGAACACAGTAAGTTGTAGGAAATAATTCATACCCTGTAAGAATTTTAGCACCTACCTAAGCTATTGAGAGCATGTTTTAGATTACTCATGCTTATTTCATTTACAAATTATTAGTATCCAATTACCAGTCATGAATTTTTAGTGCCATCCCAAACTATTGAAAATTTGTTAACAGTTAGCTCAAAGGAGCTTTATAGCTTTATTTCTTGACTGACAATCAGAGGCTTGTACCTTCAAAGAATTCATGCATATTAAGTTTTTACTAAAAAATGTCATTCTATCTTAAAATATATTGGATTTTTAAGATGTGTTAGGTTAGATTCATATAGTCAATTTCAAAAGTATAATTAACTTTTTTTTAAACAATGCAGTTTTTTTTAATTAGGGCAATGAAATTTTAAATATTCGCATGGTCAACATATTATCTTCCCCCAAATGTCTTTTTATTTTTTTTAATGTTACTGGTTGGGAAAGATTGAAACCTTCATTAGAAACTGGAATTCTTAATTTTAATTCTTGAGCGCAAAATTTGGCTTTGAATAAGATCAAATCTGTTAAAAAAAAAACCCTAACAGGATCTCACTAGATTAGAACTTTTAAAGTATTTCCATTGTTGACTTCAAATTATGTAAAGGAATCACTTCTATTAAGGAAAAACAAAATGATGAAATACTTTAGAAATTATGAATACTAAAGATTAAAGAGATTTAACTATGACCCACACCTATATAAATTCAACACTTAAATAGTTCTCAGACCTAGTTAAAATTCATTATTTCCATCTCTACCCACTTATCAATACTATCAAAACCCATTCCTATTTATTCAACATTTTAAAATGTTGAATTTTTAAATCACAAACATATAAATTCAAAGAGCAATGTTTGGCACAGCATTTGTCTATACCAATGAGGTGGTACTTTTCCCAACATATTCATGAACTTCAACCAGACTGAAATCTTGAGAGTAGGGGCCCTTTTCTATCCTAAAACTTAACAGGGATTAACATATAATAAAATGCTGCTACTGGCTATAAAGGATACAGACTAGTGGGTAAGTTTAACAATTAATTTAAGTTCTGAAGAATATTTAACCTTTGAAACTACCTCATGTGACACTGAGTCATGGGCCATAAAGAAGTAATACCAACAGCATCAACCTGACATCAGCAACGAACCTGAACTCACATTAGATGGCCATCTACCAATTAATGCTAGTTCCTGCGTCTAAGAAGAGACACTAGTGAAAAGATGTACACAAAACTTTTTTAAGAGCCATTTTTAAAGAAGTAATGTCTAAGACTTTAAAAGCCCTCTACTTGCCAGGATCACTCACACTTGCACACAGAGGGGAGAGTTTGCTGGGAGAACCGGTGCTGCTAGCTTTAAAGCATGTACTTCTTCAAGTTCTAGAAAGCTTAGGAAAACTAGGCCTACTACAAAATGTATAATAAAACCACAATATTTAAACAAGATTTCAATGTACTACTGACTTCTTAGAAACTTCATTTTTACAATCATTACATTAATAAATCCATTTACAAGTAAGAGATGGGTTTTGGGTAAATTTATCCTCACCCTGTTCTTCCCTGACATTGTCAATCCATTTATTCACTTATTCACCACTTTTTGTAGGTCTATAAAGCAAGCCCCGTGCTAAACAAAGAAAAATGATAAATGCAATGTAGTCCTTGTCCTCAGGTAACAGCCACATTCTCAACTGTACAGTTAGATTAATACTATTAACTTACACAGATATCATAAAACAGACCATCAGAGAAACTTTTTTTCTCTGTGATCTTAATTAGCATGCTGTATCTGGTGAACATGCTGTTCTTTTATATTCAAACACCACCAATGTCTCTTTTACTTTAACTTTTATTTGGCAAAGCAGCACTGTATAAACTGTTCAGTAACTAGGACACAGCTTACACAGCATGTTAAATTCATATACATTATCAGCAGCAAATTCAAAACAGAAAAAACAATACTCTGCTACTAGTCTCCTATAATTTTTAAAGAGAGAAAGGAAGAACTATGTCAGTTATGTCCAATCCGAACAGCTGAGTGTTTTAAGGGACATCACCTGCCATCTTAAGTTTTAATATTTACAAATGCTTAGTTTAAGATACCAAAGCAGCTGATTGTATCTACAACATGCTATTCTATGACACCACATCAAAAGCTTTTACAAGGAAGCTCATCTCTATTTTCTTAGTAGCATCTAACAGACATCCAAAATCCAAGAGTCGTAACTTGTGAATGGTGGTGTTATCTGATACACAAAAGCAATTTGACATATTAATATTGGAACAAATAAGTTTAACAAAAGTTATTCCTCAAAATTATTCACAAACTAAGGTTTCCATTTTGCAGAACCCCTTCTTTTAATATTTTAAAGTAAGATGTGGGCATGTTAAAGAAATAATATACACATTCAAAATTTAGCCTTTGCATCATTCTTGTATGTTTGGCTTCTGCGCCTCTTTGAAGAATTAGAAACTCTACAAAACCACACATTTTCATGCTGAAAATAATAGTGTAACAAAGTCCAAAACAAGCTGTGATGCTGTTGGTTTTCAAAAAGCTCTGAGGACTGAGATGAGCAATCCACTGTAATATTATATACTGGTCAAGCTGATGTTGCTTTTACAGTTCGTCCCTGGGGGAGGAAAGAGAGAAATATGTAAGTAGGAATTATATACCGCAAAACTTGGCTTTCTAATAGTTTAGCTAAATTATTAATCAATAAAAATACACTGATCACCAAGCAATATATCATTAAAAAAAAAAAAAGGCAGACAATCCCAAGTCAAAGCAAAAATAGAAATCAGCCATTTCAACATCTTTCATGCTACTCCAGAATGAAGTATAAAACCTGAAGGGTCTGGATTTATTTAATTTTGATGATAACTTTCTTCTTTTAAAACCAAAAATGCAGAGGCATTATAACTTATAGATCTAGGATCTTGCTAATATAATTACTGTGAAATGAGTATATAGAGTTCAAATAATTTTTTATAGCTATATTCACAAAACTGGACAAATATTTAGTCTTTTGCTTAGACTATCTGTTAGCAATCAATGAGTGGGTCAATCTCAACCTGAACTCTTTGGGAGAAAATGCATCATCTGTAGGTATAATATACCTGTCAGCTGATGTCATAAAGGCAGCTTTACCAGCTCCAAAAGAAATCATTTGCTCAGCCACGTGTAGCACTGTACCAGCAATTGCCAGTAAGAGGAAGGAAGGAATAAAAATGTTGTCTAAAGTAAATTATATGGCATATAAATTATACCTCAACAATGGTGTTAAAAGTGAAAAAATTAAAGTTACTTGAAATGCCTAAAAACTTCATATTTAAAGGCAAGCTGAGTGACAAAAACAAACGCTCAAGTACTTCTAGGGTAAAAAAGTATGTTCGCAACTAACTCTCAAGTGATACAGGAAAAAAAATTACATCTATAGAGGGAGTATAAAAGCAAATGTGGGAAAATGCTAATAACTGGTACTTCTGGATGAAGAAACTCAGGAATTCGTTGTACTATTCTTGCAACTTGTCTGTAATAAAAGCAAGTTTTTTTCAAAAGTTGTTAAAATAAATTTGAAGGGAATGTAAATAGTTAAAATTTCCCAGTTAAGTGGTAAATTAAGGGATTATTGGACAATTTGCTTTTTTAAAAACTGAATTTTGAGTTGTCCAAAAAAAATTTTAAAAATTACTTTTCCCATAAACAGCCTTTGTCATATAGTACTGGATTGGAATATCTATTAAATGATAAATGTTCAGTTCTGATTCCTTGTAATACATTCTTCTAAGTAATAGTACTATAATTTTCATAAAAGTTTTTATGTAAATTCATGCAAGCATTAAAATATTTAATCTGCAAAGAATTCACTTGCAAAGTACTCTATAAATTGAATTTACTTGTGCTTTTTAAAATATGAAGAAACTACTGTTGTTTTTGAAATAATTTATTTTACCACATTTTATTTATTGCAAGGCTTTAGGGATAATATAGATAAATCTTAATGCCACATCAATAACATACATGAATATATATAATATCCTCTCCATTAAAATTTTTTTAAAAAGGAAAAGGATAAAAACTCTCAATAAACTGGGTATAGAGGGAACGTACCTCAACATAATAAAGGCCATATATGACAAGCCCCAGCTAACATCATACTCAACGGTGAAAAGCTGAAAGCTTTTCCTGTAAGATCAGGAACAAGACAAGGATGCCCAATCTCGCCACTTTTATTCAACATAGTACTCGAAGTCCTAGCCAGAGCAATTAGGCAAGAAAAAAAAAAAAAAGGCATCAAAATTGGAAAGGAGGAAGTAAAACTATCTCTTTTTGCAGATGACATTAAATATTGAAAAACCTTGACTCCACCCAAAAAAAAAAAAAAAAACAATAAACAAATTCAGTAAAGTTGCAGGATACAAAAATGTGTGTTTCTATACAGTGATAACAAAATTCTAGAAAGTGAAATTAGAAAACAATTCCATTTATAACTGAATCAAATAGAATAAGATACCTAGGAATAAATTTAATCAGGGAGGTAAAAAATATATATACTAAAAACTATGAGATACTCATGAAAGAAATTGAAAAAGACACAAATAACTGCAAAGATATTCCCTACTAATGAATCACAGGATTAGTATTGTTAAAATATTCACTGTACCTAAAGCAATCTACTGGTTCAATGCAAGCTCTATCAAAAATTACAAGGACATTTTTCACAGAAATAAAACAAACAATCCTAAGATGTATAGAAAACCACAAAGGACCTGAACAGCCAAAGCAATCTTTAGAAAGAGTAACAAAGCTAAAGGCATCATACTTCCTGATATCAAGCTGTATTATGAACTATAGTAATCAACGGTACAGCATTGGCAAAAAAACAAATAGGATGTCTGGAAAAGAATAGAGCGCCCGGAGATAAGCCCACACATGTATGATCAATTAATTAAGAAGCCAAGAATGTATAATTGGGGAATAGTCTCTTTAATAAACAGTGCTCAGAAAAGTTGACAGCCACATGCAAAAGAATGACACTGGACTCTTTACACCCTATACCAAAAAATCAACGCAAAATAGATTAAAGAGTTGAAACCATAAAACTAAATTTGTGATAATCATTTCACAATGTATACATATACCAAATCATTATGTTGTACACCTAAAACTAATGCAATGTTAAATGTCAATTGTATTTCAATAAAGCTGGAATAAAATCACATTGTAAAAAAATATTTAATGATGTGGGACAATGTTGATGATATTTTATTAAATGATTTCAGGATTACAAAAGAGATGTATATGGATTTATGTAAGAGATTTTTAAAAATATACCAAAATGTTAATAGTGGTTACTCTGGGTTCTGGGATTACATGTGATTTTTATTTTATTCTTCTCATATCAATCTATAGGTAGACAGATATTCATTAGGTTATTAACTATAAGTACTTATTTTAGTATCTAATATACAATTATTAATTTATTGGGTTAGTAATTCTAAACTACTAACATTATTATATATTTCATTAGCAAGAACAAATAAAAGAATTACTATAAGAAAACAACAGTCAGTTGGATGGTTGGGCTCATTTGAATACCCTATGACCTATACTGTCAACACTAGAATTCATGTTTTTATCAATATGTGTGCATGCCATTTTAATGTGCCTGTGAAATGAGACATTGAAAACTTGCCTGTGAAATGAGAACCCTAAAATATTCCTGTCTCACAGAGATGAATTTATTCCACTGACTGTTATAGTTATTAAAAACAAAAATAAAATTAACACAATTTTAATTTCTATATAAAATATACTTATATAAAATAAAATGTAAATTTTTAAGTATTGAGTTTATGAAACAACTAATACAACCAACCACACATTCGTAGACATGAACAAAAACTACAGCTCTAGGTCATGGCCTATCCTTGCTCTCCCCTCTTATTAATCCACCAAAATTGTGGGTATTTTTCCAAGTATAAGGAGACAAATTTGCATTCAGGTTTTAGACTTTATTTTCCACTACAACTTGGCATTACTGCTATTTCTCCTTTTTTCCATTTGCTGTCTATCATATCTCCTTAGTAACAATCAAATGGCACCCTCAGAAAGCATTCAAAAAGAGAAAGAGAAATATCAGATTGTGTCACTTATAGGTGGAATATAGAGAAACCAACAAAGGGTCAGATAAAGTCAAACATAAAAACTGACCCTTGAAAGCTGACTACAGGCTGAGGAATGCTGGGGGAGAGAGGGTAAACTGGGGAAGGAACACAGTGGACTCTGCTGGTGGACCATGGGTGCTTTGCTGGTGAGTGTGCTACGGTACTAACATTTGAAAGGGGGAATCTCATACTCCCAAAATACAAACCACATAAACCAACAACCTCAATTTAAAAAACAAGGAGGAGGGAAGGAAGTAGTGCAACTAGCTCTAGATTCCCCAGTAAAAGGAGGATGAAGCTAGTGAGAAACAAGAGACAGTTCATAAGAAAGCACCAGGATGAATTGTTAATCCTGAAGAAAACCTGAAGGAACAGAAATCATCTAGCCTGGCAAGACACTAAGGTACTTTTTAGATGATAATTCCTAAATGTGGGATGGGTACTCTAGGAAGGAGGAAGAGGCTATTTCTAACCACATTTTATCCTTACTGCCACTGCCCTAATTCAGGCCACTGTCACATCACCCCAGTCTTACTACCACCACTTCCTACTTCTGAATCTAGTTTCACTCCCTTCCAATCTACTCTACTCCTCAGGAAGCACTGTCTTTCTGAAATGTCATTCTGATCACTTTACTGCCTGGTGTCAACACTTCAGTTGCTCTCTAATGCCCATCAAAGCAGAATCCAAACACACTATACTCTAATTACCTGTCTGTCTTGTCTTTGGACTAATTTGATCTCTTACATGACTGTAAGCTCCATAGAAGGGTCAATTTCAAATTCAGTTATAGCTACCTGGCACCTAGAACAGTGTATGGCATAGTGGGCACACCCCCTTGAATTAATGAAGGTATTAAGAAGATAATCACACTAGGAAATATTTAACAAATTTAGCAAACAGAACTGCCTAAGAAAAGCATTACATGGGCCTCCCCGGTGGCACAGCGGTTGAGCGCTGGGTTGTGAAGCTGCCCGCAGCCTCTGCAGCACCGGTTCGATCCCCGGCTGCTCCCCAGCCACCGGAGGAGGAGGGTCCCACATGGCGCGCAGACCTCTCCTGCCGCCCGCTGTTCCCCTCAGCAGTGTACTTCGGTCCTTCTGCCTACTCTGCTCCCCGCTCTGGCTCTGGTGAATTCTCTCACCCTCCCGCACTTCTGACTGTACCCAGTACTTGTATAAATAAATAAATCTTAAAAAAAAAAAAAAAAAAAAAGCATTACATGTTGTTTTTCCAAAGGCAACTTAAAATAATTTTTTTCAGTCAGGGATAATTTAAGCAGATTCATTAGCCTAAAGGGAATAGAAATAGGGCACACAAACCTATTCCAGACTTAAATTTTAAAAGAAGCAGGGGCATCTAGTATAGGAGAGGAAAGAACAAAGAGGTGGTGGTGAGAGCTGATTTCAGATTGTCACAGGACCCCTTCCTCTCTGACTACAGTCAAGACTGGTCCATATGAAGCTCTAACAGAAGAGACTAGGAGGAGAAAAAATGAGTGAGTCATACATGTGGTAGTGCTGCTCCCCTCCACCACTCACCTGTCAGTTACTACCCTCTTCCTCCACTGAGTCCCCTGCTGTCCATGGAGTCTAGTAAAATTGTTACCCTTTAGGCCTAGAGTGCTAACAGTTTCCTGCTAGTACCCTGGGCATCCTTGACCCCTGGATATGTCAACATCCTTTGCTGGTTCCCATAGCCTTTCCTGTATTTCTCTGAATAGTGCCTGTTGGTTTTTACCCTCACAAACATTCTATTTTGTAGCAATTTCTTTCAATTTATTTTAATGTAGCAGTTCTTTTTTTCCCTAATTTTGTTTCCCCTTACCATTCTTTAAACTTATATTCTTTAAACTTCGAGATTTATAATTAAATAATTATTGGGGCCTCCCTGGTGGCACAAGGGGTTAAGACACAACCTATGAAAATGACTGCAGCCACTGCAGCACGAGTTGGATCCCCAGCCAGGGAGTATCCCACATGGCACAGCAGATCTCTCCTGGCTCGCCCGCTGCTCCCTTCAGCAGTGTATTTCAATCAATCTGCCTGTTCTGTTCCCCACTCTGTCTCTGGTGGGTCCTCTCACCAACCCCCCCTGCCTCTGGCCAGTACCCCAGCTCTTGCATGCATGAAAATAAAATAAATCTTAAAATAATTATCTTTGTAATTAAAACTATATCTCTAAATATAATGAAGTGTTTCAACAAATAGAAACTTACAACAGAAAAAAGCAGAAAATTTTCCTAGTACAACTAAAGTTTTTTAATGATGCAAAATGTAAACTTGCTCAATGTTTTAAAAAGTGGGAGGCAAAAAAAAACCAAGCAAACAAAAAACAACCCAAGTCTATATATAGCTAAGTATTTGGCAAATGACTGAGTAATTCCCATAAATTTTAAAAAATTAGTCAGTATTTAATACAAATAGTTTCATTTTATCAGGGGTAGATAAGGTTTTATGAAGTCCTTACAAAGATTTATAATTGGGAAGAGGGGAAAAAAAGAAGTCTAAATACAAGACTATGCTTATAAAATCAGCATAAGGCCAGGGAGAGTGCTAAGCAAGTGAAGACCCTGAAGCTTTAAATTTCATTAGCTTTATGCCAAATCTAACTCTGGTTATAAATACAAAGTACCTTTTTGTAATTGCTTCATAATTAAATTATAGGTGAAATATTTAATACTAATGTTTACTGTGAATAAAAAATATTTGTAATGTATTAATAAAAATCTGAATTCTTGGTATCAAATTTCAGTAATTTTAGTAATTCCAGTGATATATTTGCCATTTCATACAGTAGCAATTATACAGTATACCATTTTTGTAATGGTATAGCTAAGTGAAGGAAGGCTGTGATTAGTTGTTAGTAGCTATGTCTTATTCTGACAAGACCAGCAAGTTTTAAATTATTTATTTATTTAGGAAGTGGCCGTGCTACCTTACAATACAATGGAAACAGCTGTAACTACATTAGGTGAAGAATAAAATGTAATTCCTACTAAGATATCCAAGAAATGGCCAATAAATTTAGTTAAAAGTAAAACTCAGTTTTGAACAAAGGGAGTTAAATTCATTACCATTTTTACAATTAAGCATTCACTCAAAAGTTGTCTTTCCTCTTTCTAGAAAACAAACTTGAGATCTATTAAACTTACAATCACTGTTTTACTTACTGATAATTATTTTAAAATAAGTATCTTTGTCAAATATAAGTATCATAAAACAAGGAAGTATAAACCTTTATTTTCACTTTAGCTTAACTTCAAGTAGTCTCAGCTAACGTCAGTCTACTTATTGCTCTCACTCCTTCCCACTAGAGGGACTAAGGAGAGAAGGAAGAAGAGGAATCTCGGCTTCAAACAAAATATTCAGAATATGCTGAAACATAAAACAAAAGTAGGCATTATATTTATAATGAGCCATGCTGTGCTGAAGATGATGCTGCATGCTGTTGGCCCTTTGAGAGGGTTTGTGAGACCTGGGCACTCACTGAGTAGTTTACAGAATCCCTTCCCCTCTCTAGGAAGCGAGCTAGACTAGCTTCAACATGGGCTGGCCTGTCCTATAGAGCAAGATTAGTTCTTACAGTAGTTGAATGTAAATTTGGCACATGCTGTCAGACATCTATGAATCTGACTGAAAGAGAAATCAAGATGAGAGGAAGAATGTCCTCTCTGGGATTCTGATATCTTCAAAAACTGGAATATGAGTCTTTCCACTTCTTTCTCTTCAGAACAACAGAGAGTAAGGGGCAGGACATACAGGTCCCCATCTTTTCTGGAAGCTGTTTCCATGATAATCCATACAGCATTTATAAAAATGATTTGTAAATGTAAATGTCACTCTGTAAAACAGAGTGGTTGATAATAAAATTTATTTAAAAAATACTTAACTATGGGTGAAAGCCTCTTTAAAAAACATCTTGTGCCAACCAAGTCTCACCCCCCCTTCCGCAAAGATATGAGTTAAATCAAAAGAAGGGCAAACCATGCAAAATTTTTCCATGTTTTTAATGTAGTGGATTTCTGATGTTAAGATGGAGTAGCATAAAGGTGACAACCAAAAGAGCAGCTCTTGTAGTCTAATGTCTTAAAATCCACACCCTTTCACCTTGCGTGTGTGGAAGAAGAAAGAGCAGAAGATAAAATCACTTCCACCTGGACCACTGCTTTTCTTTATCTGTTAAAGGCACGTATATCACTCCCATCAGAGGTTTCATTTTGACACTGCCATCTTGTAGCTTATCGTACTGCTCCAACATTTGGTTTCCACCTGCAGGACCGACCGGCAATATCAATCTTCCACCCGGCTTTAGCTGGTCTATTAGCTATAAGAAAGTGAACAAACACATATATACCAAGTTAAGGTATTATATTAAGAGTCATTTTATATTACTATAAAAACCTTTCAGAGCCTCCCTGGTGGCATGCCGAGAGGTTGAGTCTCGGCACTATGAAGCTGTAGGTAGCCACTGCAGCATGAGTTCGATCCCTGGCCAGGGAGCTAAGCCACATGGTGCAGCAGACCTCTATTTTGCCCGCTGCTCCCCTCAGTGTATTTCAGTCAATCCACCTGTTTCGCTCCCCACTCTGTCTCTGGTGAATCCTCTCACCACCCCCTGCACCTCTGGCCTATACCCCAGCTCTTGTATGCATAAATAAAATAAACCTTGGGCCTCCCCTGGTGGCACAGGCAGTTGAGCACCATGCTATGAAGCTGTCAGTAGGTTCTGTAGTGCCGGTTCAATCCCGGCCGGCCGGTGAAGGTCCCACATGGCGCAGCAGACCTCTCCTATCGCACCTACTGCTCCCCTCAGCAGTGTATTTCGTCAGTCTGCCTGTTCTGTTCCCCACTCTGTCTCTGGTGAATCCTCTTACCCTCCCGCACATCTGGCCTGTACTCCAGTTCTTGTATAAAATAAGTAAATCTTAAAAAAAAAAAACAACCCTCAAAAAAAAAAAAAGGTGCTCTCAGGCCTCCCTAGTGGCACAAGGGGTTGGGATGCAACCTATGGGGCTGTCCGCAGCCACTGCAGCACAAGGAGTTCGATCCCCTGGCCAGCCAGGGAGGAACTTACATGGCGCAGCAGATTTCTCCTGACTAGCCCGTTGCTCCCCTCAGCAGTGTATTTCAGTCAGTCTGCCTGTTCTGTTCCCCACTCTGTCTCTGGTGAATTCTCTCACCACCCCCATCTCTGGCCTTTGCCCCAGTTCTTGTATGCATAAATAAATCTTTAAAAAAAAATCTCTCTTAGCAACTTTCAAATATACAATATAGTACTGTTAACTAGTCACTGTTTTTTTAAACTTCAAATTATATGCTGGATGAGGAGTGAACTCTTACATATATTTTGCTCCTTTCACATAATAATAATTTATTAAAACCACTTTAAGTTGGGCCTCCCCGGTGGCGCAGCAGTTGAGCGCTGGGTTACGAAGCTGCCCGCAGCCTCTATAGGGCCGGTTCGATCCCTGGCCGCCAGGCAAGGGTCCCACATGGCATGCAGACCTCTCCAGCCGCCTGCTGCTCCCCTCAGCAGTGTACTTCATCAGTCTGCCTGCTCTGCTCTCCCCTCTGGCTCTGGTGAATTCTCTTACCCTCCTGCACTTCTGACTGTACCCAGTGCTTGTATAAATAAATAAATAATTCTTTAAAAAACCACACACACACACACACACACAAAAAACCACTTTAAGTTATGACTTGCAAATACAATTTGCTACTTAGTTACGATTATTTACTGTACAACAAACCGCTTCTGCACTGATATGCCCCTTGCCATCTCTTTGGTTCTGCTTCCTCCACCTCCTGAGGAAGTTATACCTCCATCTGCTTACATTTCACATACTAGAGTTCGGGGTTGCAAGTATAATCTCCTAGATACCTGGAGTTTGTATTACTGTTTTTTGTTTTTATAGTTGTTTTTAGGGTGATGTCAAAGAGGAAGCATAAACATCTTAACTGTTATTTTAAAACTGGACAACCCCCTAAGCATATTTATCTTTAATCAAGTATATAAAAACCCCTATAATACCTCCAAGTGCTGCTACAATGTTTAAATTCATATTGAGCTAAAGCCAAGAGAAATGCTCTTCAAGAGCATCACAGTTCTATTTAAGATTTTAATTGCTCCTACCAAGCTGCCAATATTTAAAAAAAAAAAAAAGTTAAAACTACTGATCCTGTGTTCATATGTGAAAGTTCATAAAACTATTCATTTATGACTTGTACACCTTGCATACATAACATATAATACTGGAATGAATACCCTCTCATTGCAACAATATAATTCTTACTAATCTTTAAAATACAGTTCAAATTCCATTCCTATATGGAGTCTCCTTGACTACTCTATGCAAATTTATCTTCTCCTTTGAACTCTTATAGTACATATATATATATATATATATATATATATATATTTTTTTTTTTTTTTTTTTTTTTTTGGCGTAGAAGAACTGGGGTGCAGGCCAGAGGTACAGGTGATGAGAGGATTCACCAGAGACAGAGTGGGGAGCAGAATAGGTAGACCGACTGAAATACACTGGTAAGGGGAACAACGGGCAAGACAGGAGAGGTCTTCTCTGCCATATGTGGGTCAGCTCCCTGACTGGGGTTTGAACTCAGGCCAAAGTGGTGATAGTGCTGGGACTTAACCCCTAGGCCACCAGGGAGGCCCAGTACATATTTTCTTTCATATTCAATATATACTATAAACTAATGCTAGTGTAGCATTAATTTGCCTGTTACATGTACAGGCATTCTACATATCTCTGTGGAATATAAGCTCTGTGTTGGTAAAATGTATGACAAATACTTCCTGGTCTCTCTCATGAACCTAACAGAATTTTACATATTTTGGTATTTAGTAAAACACTAATTGATTATCAGGTTATGAACTCTGGAGGGACTTTCCCAATTCTTTTGGTATACCAGTTCTAAGTAGGATCAAATAAGACAGTCATAAGCTAGGGTTTAGTAATCTTCATGTCATTTACTTGAATATCAAAAAACAGTATCTACTAACTACAGCTAAAATGCATAAGATAAAACTCTAGTTATATTTTTGAGCATCATCTAGAAGTCAATTCTCTATTAAGTTTTTTAGTTTTAGTTCAATAAAGCACATAAATATAGGAAAAACTCAACTCACTGCCTGGGGCACAACTGGGGCTGCGGCTCCTACATGAATAGCATCATATGGGGCTTCTTCGGCATATCCCATTCTTCCATCTCCCACTGAAAGAAAAAAAAAATATATGCTTTAAAAATCTGTTCAGATATGGGGCCTCCCTGGTGGTGCAAAGGGTTAAGGTGCAACCTATGAAGCTATCTGCAGTCACTGCAGCACGAGTTCAATCCCTGGCTAGGGAGCTACCCACATGGCACGGCAGACCTCTCCTGACTTGCCCACTGCTCCCCTCAGCAGTATATTTCAGTCAGTCTACCTGTTCTGCTCCCCACTCTGTCTCTGGTGAATCCTCTCATCCCCTGCACCTCTGGTCTATACCCCAGTTTTTGTACACATAAATAAATAAATCTTTAAAAAAAATCTGTTCAGAAAGAACTACCTAATGCGAGTAATTATAGAAGATTTAAAGTGGGGAAAGAATATATTTTTAACAAATGATGTCTGATCAACTGGTATTCATATGAAAAAAAAATCTCTACCTTCACCTCACACACATACATACATCGTACACAAAAATCACTGTCAGGAAGACCAAAGACTTAAATGTGAAAAGCCAAAATGATAAAGTTTCTAATAAATAAGAAGACATTTTCCTGATTTCTTAGTAGCCTTAAAGAGGCCAGAGAATGTACTAGAAGAAACTGGTAAGCCTGACTATATTAAATTTAAAGCTTCTATTTATCAAAAAAGTACAAACATCTCAGTGAAAAGGCAAGATACAAGGTAGAAGAACTGATTTACATGTGTGAATAGAAACAACATAAAACATCCATCTTCAGAATTAATAAACACATTTTGGTAATGTTCTTAAAATGGGAATGCAATAAAGTCATAAAGATAAACTGGATACAAAAAAGACTCTTACAAACATAATATTGAATGAAAGAAGTAATTTATCACAGAATATACTGTGTATGATTCCTTTTATGTAAAGCTCAAAATAAAACACCATTATGGAAATATAATTAGAAAATAAATTCACCATCATAATAACAATTATTATTCTCATTATTATTACCATTAGGGAGAAGGGAGGGAGTTATGAGGAGGAAAAGGCAAACAGAAGACTTCCAAGGTACCAGTAATGTTCCATTTCTTTATTAGTGTACTACTTAAGCAGGTATTTGTTAAGCTTCCAGTTTATGTTTTATGTACTTATTGTATGTTTATTTTTCACAGTAATACAAAAATATGGTCACATGGAAATATGTCTACTGTAAAATGCTGAATAGAAGCAAACAAGCAATTATGCAAGCAATTTATTCACACAGATTTTTTATATGTCCAGAAAACTTAGGGAAAAGGAGGGGCTTTCTTTTTAATCTTGCACCATTCTGCATTGTTTACCTTTTCTCTAGGGGACACATTATTTTAGTATTACTACTTAAAAAGCAATAAAAAAAATACAACATGGGCATTTTCTGAAATAGTTAAGTCATGTCACCCACAGTATTTTAAATTGTTACTCTTATCTAGTATTTAAGAGTGAAAGGTTTTTTTAATGCAAGAATTATTTGTATTATTTAGCTTGTAGGGATTTTCTGAAAATAAAAATTCTCCATAAAGGAAATTTTTAAAGTGTTCTGATACTTACCAACCAACTGCACCCTCCCTGAAGACAAAAGCATTGGATCATCCTTTCTGACATTATTTATTGAGTCATCTACTAGCTCTTTAATGTGGTCAATTCCTATGACTTTTCCAGTAGATCCAACCTGTAAATGAAAGAATAAATTTGTTTTGGTCTAAATTTGTTTTACTGCACAGTAAAGTGTTGCCTTATCTGATGCCATATTCTGCAATAAGAAAACAAGGTAAACATCTTAAGTCTCCAATTTGATTGTTAAATGCTCAATTTTTAATTTATTTGTGAAATGCAACCTTCTCAATTTTAACCCTCAAATGAATTATTATTTCAGTAATTAAGAGGGTAGAATAAGTTACAAAATCTTGTAGTATTAAGAAAAATGATGTATTTATTCAATTTCTAAATCCAGGACTTTAAAGTAAGACTTAATTACCAACACCATCCAGTAATTAATACAAGTATTTTTTCTATTTAAATTCCCTAAAAGTGTGACTTTAAATATTAAAATATTACATAAAAATTTTTACAGGAATTTCTACACCTAATACTGCTGCCCTATGTGGAAAATTAAAAAATCTCAAAAGGTTCCAAGTAAAATTTTATTTCATTTATTTACACATATAGGAACTGGGGTGTAGGTCAGAGGTGTGTGTCGGGGTAGGGGGGCGGTGAAAGGATTCACCAGAGATAAAGTAGGGGTTAGAACAGGCAGATATGCTGAAATACACTGCTGAGGGGAGCAGCGGTTGAGACAGGAAAGGTCTGCACTATATGTGGGTTAGTTCCCTGGCCGGGATTGAACTCATGTTGCAGTGGCTGGTGATAACTTGATAGCACCGAGACTTTAAGCTCTGTGCCACCAAAAGTCCCCCCAAGTAAAATTTTAATTGTAAAATGAATCTAGTATAATAAAGACTCTAAAGTGAGACTACCTGGATTCACATCTGAATCAGGTTCTTCAGCTTTAAAATAAAGAAAAGGGGACAGACCTCATAAAGATTAAGTAAAGAATACATAAAATATATGATAAATGATTAAAAACATTAATATCAATTTTCACTTTTATTTTAAAGATTTTTATTTATACATACAAAAACTGGGGTGTAGGCCAGAGGTTGGCAGGGTGAGAGTGCTAAGACTTAACCCCTTGCGCCACCAGGGAGGCCCTAAAATCATTTTTAAAAAGATAAATCCAATGACTTTTTTTAAAAAAAAAAATGAGTATTTCTCTAAAATCATAAATATGTCAATTAGAGAAAACAAGTTACCAATTAAATGCCATTTCTAAACTTAAAAAAAAAAAATCCTGGTATTCCATTAGTGAGGGCTAATCTTCTATAAACAAGTAAAACAACAGGAAAGAAATATGAGTCCTTACTATGTACCAGACACTATTCTGAGAGCTTAGAATACATCAATGAAAAAAAAAATAAATTAGGCAAAGTTCCCCCTTCCCTAGAGCTAATGCTCTACTGTCTGCCATCTCTATATTTATAGCATATTAAATGAATTTTAGTCCAAGATGGATCCATAAATCCGAACTTAACCAGACCAGACCCTTCCAATTTGGCCTCCAGGGACAAGATTTTTCATTATCAACCTGATTTGAGCATAGATGAGCACAGATGAACCTTTCCTCCAAAGTGAGTATATGCCTGGGCTTACACTCCATATAGTCATTTACCAGATAAGACTCTGAAAATAAAAACTGAAGTATAACACAAAGACAATTTTCGGAGAGCCCCCCCTTTTTTTTAAAATGTAAAAGCAGCTCTACCCTCATTATTAATGCAAGATGAGAACTTTAAAAAATGTAATTTGGGAGCTCCTACTTGTTGCCAATGTGTGATCACAAGAGAAGAGCTTATGAGATAACGAAGCCAACATGTGAAGGAAAGCAAAACCAAAACAAGAACCAGAGAGAACACTTTGTCAATAATAATATGTTTCTTCTTAATCCAGCCCCACAAAAGTCAGACATACCATTAGACTTTTCCATTATATAAACCAAATAAATTCTCTTTTTGCTATACCAATTTAGATTAATGTTATTTAAACCCCCCCAATCCTAAGTGATACATCTAACTACTATCTTAATAGAATTTAAAAAAAGGAAAGAAAACCCTCAAAAACTGCTAGTGAAGTAAAAAATACAGTCAAATCCTGTAATATGCTACTGCTGAGATCAGAATGAAAAATAAAACTCTTACCATACGGGCAAAACATGCAGTAAGGATTCCACTTCCAGATCCTACATCGAGCGCTTTAGCTCCTTCATGCAATTGATCAAACAGAAGCTCTAGTGCATATGCATGCTGCCAAAAGAATATAAGGCAAATAATCATTTTTTCTAGATGCTATAAAATATATATACCATGGAACAAATAAAAGTACCAACCTCATACCAATTTTTCTATTAGTATCATCTACCAAGACATGAAAACATGTTATATACTTATGTCTACATGAGAATTACATAAGAAATTTCCCACTGTTCAATTAAATTCTTACATTTAGATAAAATGACTCAGTAATTTTAAATCTGGTGTGTGAATTTTTTTAAAGATTTATTTATACATACAAGAACTGGGGTACAGACCAGAGGTGAGGTGGGGGTGGGGAAGAGGATTCATCAGAGACAGAGTGGGGAACAGAACAGGCAAATATACTCAAATACACTGCTGATTAACAGTTTTAAAAGTTGATTATGAAAAAATTTCAAACCCATATAAAAGGTGGAAATACAATGAACATCCCTTTCTCCTCCTGCAGAATCACTAACCAGGGAATTACATCTTAGGGGAGAAATAAAACACTGTACAAAAATGAACAATGATGTTAAAAAAAAAAAGACTCACTAACCACTTATATTATACCATACTCTTTTACCAAACCTTCTGAAAACAGGTCATAGACATCATATATCACTCCTAAAAACTTCAGTAACCATCTGCCAAAAACAAGGCCATCTTCCTTCTTAATCACCTCACCATTACCACACTCAGGAAAACCATCAATTCAGTATCACCCAACATGCATACCACATTCAAACTTCCTCAATGCATATATACAGACATACATTTTGTCCCAAAATGACCATTAGAGGTCCCCCCCGCAATCCATTAAAGGTTCATTCACTGCATCTGCCAATCTAGAATATCTCCCTTCCACTCTCCTCTACCTCCCACTTCACTCTGTTCTTTAGGACACTTCTTTTAAGGAATCTGAGCCAGTTGTACATAATATACTACAGTCTAGATGTGTCAGTTTCCTCATGGTTAGATTCAAATCAAAGACTTCTAGCAAGAAAACCACACAGATGCTTATTGAGGCCTCCCACTGCACCATATGAGGAAGAACATAATACTGGGCCCTCACTACCAGACTTGCTGTTAGAAAATGGGTCCACTACATAGCTATGTTCAAGGCATGTTTTTCTTCTGTAAGTAATAATATGTAGAGCAATAATTTCAGACTCCAAGGATATTTGTTCCCCAACAATCTTCTTAATGGTTTTAGAGTAACTGATGATTTTTGCCTAATCCAATTATTATGCTGATAATGACAAATAGTGATCTGTAAAAGCACTCCACATTGATTAACTGGCATCCTTATGTTTTTCATTTTTCCAGTCTTGCCTTTTTTTTCATCTCTATGGATGCATGGATTTTTATATCTTGATTAACTGTGTTATCCTCATCATCTACCATTTCTTCTCAAATTGTCTCTAATTTGGTGTTTGGGAGTTTCTTCAAACCTGTCTCTATGTCCCATTAGCCTTTGAGTGCTTCTGCAGTTTCAGCACTGTCTTCTCCAAGAAGCTCTAATCTCTTTTAGTGGCACTTGGGATTTAATATCTGGATGTGAAGTGTGCTCACTGCAAGCAGGACATTATTTTAACAGGTTTTTAAAAAATCTCTTGCCCACTGTATATAACACAATATTCCTTAATCATAACTTTGGAAACTATTATAGGACATAACCATTTCCAAGCCTGTGATTTTAAGCTTCAATCAAAGCAGACATCATTTCTCTTTAGTTCTCAATTTGTTTCTTTTTTAATATTTCTAATAGCTATACAATTAATGATACAAGGTCACAAATTCTTTTAGATATAATTAATTAATACTATTTTGTTCTACTCACATTCTGGTTCAGCAAAATTCAAAGGACACAGTGCTTGCTACTTACATATGCATATACACAGACATACATATAGTCGTACTATGTGGCTATATTCACATATATATTTTCCATATCAAGAGATAATGGTTACTCAGAAAATGTTAAGTGATTAAAAATGCATTCTTTCTAGAGGGAAATTCTGATACAAGCTATGATATGGATAAAGCTTAAGAACATTGTGTTAGTTAATATAAGCCAGTGACACCAAAAAAAAAAAAAAACACTGTATGATTCCATTTATGAAGCACCTAAAATAGTCAACTTCACAGAGACAGAAAATAGAATGGCAGTTGCTAGAGGCTGGGACAAGTGGAGAATGGGAATTACTACTGAATGGGTATAGTTTCAGTTTTGCAAGATGAAAGACTTCTGGAGATTGGTTGCACAGCATTATCAATATACTTAATACTACTGAACTATATGCTTAAAAATGGCTAGGATAGTAAATTACATGCATTCTAACGCAGTAATTTTTTTTAAAGCATCCTTTTCAACAATGAAAAGAGAAGTAACCAACTAAAAAATGGGAAAGGGATTTGAATAGACATTTCTCCCAAGAAAATATACAAATGACCAATAAAAGATGCACACAAAAAGATGCTCAATATCATTAATCACTAGTGAAATGCTTATCAAAACCATAATGAGATACTACTTCACAGTTACTAGGATGGATAAAATAAATAAGATATACAACAACAATAACAAGTATTGACAAGGAAGTGGAGAAACTGGAACCTTTATACATCGCTGGTGGGATTGTGAAATGGTGCATCCAACTTGGATAACAGCTTGACAGGTTCCTCAAAATGCTAAATGTAGGACTACCGTATGACCCAGTAACTCCACTCCTAAGTATTTATCAAGATAATTGAAAATATATGCACACAAAACCTGCACACTAATGTTCACAGTAGCAAGAAAGTAGGAACAATCATTTTATCTAATACATAAATGATAAAACTGAAGTAACTGAAAGTTTAATTCTTTAAACCATCTTTACTTGAGCATATCTTAGAGGAAAAAAATGCAATGCATTGTACCCAAATGATCAAAGTCAACTTACCATGTGTGGAGCACTGATTGTTGCTTGGAAACCTAGAAAAGAAGATGACAACAACTGATACATTCAGTTTCAAAAACATAATAAATATTCCATGAAATCCCCTTTTCTAGCATTTATAAATCATTTTTTATAACTATTTTTTTACAATTTCAAGAAAATAAAACAGTTACTGTGTACTTTAGAGTGCTGTCATGCAGCAGTTAAAAATCAGAAAACACGGCCCTGCCAAAGGCTGAATGATCATCTGGTACAAAAGTCCCAATTACTTCAAAAAAGGTTTCTGTAGAGTTAGCTGAGAAAGGAAGAATGTCAATAAGTTGAACTGTTAAATTTATGACTTGTCTTCTCTTCAGATTTATAAAAAGAAAGTAAGTCTAGATCTATAACACATATGTAAAACTTTGTGAAATTAAACTGCTTTATATTTCTAACAACTAGGGCAACTGGCAAACAAAGTGGCTTAAAAGACTAATAAACCACTTCAATTTGCTCTTTATAGTACCATCTAATAATGATTTACATACTCTTTTCTTAGTTTGAAGCTTTTATTTTCTTCCAATGTTGCTTTCTCAAAACTTATTTACCTGCTTCTGCAATCTGAAGCAATTTTCACTGAGCGGTGGTAGCAGGTGCCTTCGGGGTTCAGAAGCTCCTCAGGATCTTCTCTGCTGACTGTTATTGTGCTTCAAAAGGAGAAAGCATGGCAGTTGGCCCACAGAATCCTGAGGCACTTCTAAGCCTCAAAGGCGCCCACTGCCAAGGCTCAGCAGTTCAGCAAAACCTGCTTCAGGAGAAGGAGTTAAATATGGAACTTTCTAAAAACAAGCATAAGCCAAAAAATTCAGGGCAAGTGAAACAGAGAAGTCAATAATAATTACATTTATTTCTTTTAATTTTGATTTAAAAAATTAGTTCTGATGTGAACACAACCTAGTCAAATTAAGGCCCCTCTCCCCAGTGATCTTATAAAAACATAATAATAATTAAGGTCCCTCAAGAAAAGTCAGCATTCAGCTTAAATTTTAAGTTTTCACTAAAAGTATTATTTTATGAAAAATTTAAAAATTCTTCATATATACTACACATATTGCTACTGCTTGAGAACACAGACATGGTACTTCATATATAACAGTTTATTAAAATGGATATGTTTTATGAGATTTAGTACAGCATAAAATTCAAATAGCAACCAAGGTAATGATAAATATTTATATCCTAGCCTAGCTTTACTTACAAAAATTATAGAGTAAATAAATTAAAATGTGACATTTTCAGAAACCTAAAGCTTACCTATTGATTGTGGAGAATCCATGTAAGGGTTGCATTTTGCATAGTGGGAGCGGTCTGTGGCTAGCATTACTTCAAATACTTTATCTGTCTTGATGATCCCATTTTCTGAAATGAACAAGGCAAATATTTTAAGCTGGAAATGAGATGATCAGACATGTTTTGGAATAATTATTCTGGCTGTATTGTAGAGACAGGGTTGAAAGAGAGCAGACTGGAAGTAATTGCAATGGGCCAGGTAATAACAACTGGGTCTTTAATAATGACAGTAAGAAAATGAAGAAAATAGAAGAATTTGAGTAATGTTTAGTAGGTAATGTATACCTGCCTGGATTTGGAGGTGGGAGAGGGGGGTGATTGTTGAGATGCCAATATCATAACTGATTTGAGAAATCCTGGAGAAGGACAAGAGTCAAGGAGGAAAAAGACAAACTATTCAGTTAGGGGCTATGGACCATACAAGTGGAGATATTCCAATCAGTTGGATATATTGATCTGGGACTCAGGAACAAGACCTAGGATACAGATACAGATTTCTAGTTATATGGATGGCAACTGAAGCAAAGGAATTAAACATAAGTAGCCAGAGAAGAACACACACAGAAGGAAAACACTTAAAGAGTTCTTTATATATTTTGGGTTTTAACCTCTTATTAGAGATACGATTTACAAATATTTCCTCCCATTCAGCAGGTTGTATTTTCATTTTGTTATTTCTTTTGCTGTGAAGATTTTAGTTTGACGTGTCCCAGTTATTTTTGCTTTTGTTGCCTTTGTTTGGGGAGTCAGATTTGCATGTTCAGTCTTGGTAAACATGAAAACGTATTAGACCCTTTGAAGATAATAATAAGCAGTTACAGAGGTGGCATAAAATCAAGCAGAAATACCATTAGAAATCCCAAGATAAGTTAGTTTTTTAAGAAGGAGTGCAGTCAATAATATATACATTTGGCTCCCTCAACTATCAATTATTTGACATTAAATATAAAATAAATTGCAATAAGCATACTGTTACTGTGCATGACGTTATTATTCAAAAAGGTCCTCTTAACACAGTGCATCTAATGCCTGTTAGGTACATACCAGAAATAGCGCTCCATGCTTAGGATTTTTTAAGATTTATTTATTTATGCATACAAGAGCTGGGGTATAGGCCAGAGGTGCGGGGGGTGGGGATGAGGTGTCACCAGAGATAGAGGGGGTAACAGAACAGGCAGACTGACTGAAATACACTGCTGAGGGGAGCAGTGGGCGAGACAGGAGAGGTCTGCTGTGCCATGTGGGTAGCTCCCTGGCTGGGGATCGAACTTGTGGGGCAGAGTTGTGGATAGCTTCACAGTACTGTGCTTTATTAACCCCTTGTACCACCAGGGAGGCCCCTGCTTAGGATTTTTAAAATGAACAAGATAGTTTATGTTCTCACAGATAAAATATCTATAAGATTAAATGTATGAATTTGACTTTAACAATCGAGAAATAGGGACTCCCCGGTGGTGCAGCGGGTTGAGCTCAGCCCTGTGAAGCTGTCCACAGCCTCTGCAGCATGGGTTTGATTCCCGGCCGGCAAGGGAGATACCCACATGGTGCAGCAGACCTCTCCTGCTTTGCCCGCTGCTCCCCTCAGCAGTGTATTTTGGTCCATCTGCCTGTTCTGCTCCCCGCTCTGTCTCTGTTCTGCTCCCCGCTCTGTCTCTCAGCCCCCACACCTCTGGCCTGTACCCCAGCTCTTGTATGCATAAATAAATAAATCTTAAAAAAAAACAAAAAAAAACTTTAAAAAATCTAGAAATAATCTGAATTTCTCCACACCACCCTTCAAAAATAAAAAACACCACACCTAAGATAAAGAAGGGACATAAAACCCACATGATCCATGCATTCACATTGTCAGGAGACAGAGAATATCCATATTTCAAACCATATATAAGTAGGAAATTAACAAATTCCAATAAAACTTCCACTACTGCTGCAAAATTATATGAGAAAGTAAGGGTGGGATAAGCTTTTAAATGTGCTAGAAAAAAAGGTAGAAGAAAGCAGGGGATAAAGATGAAGTACAGATAAAATCATTCCCAGAAAGAAGTAGTACTACACTAAGTATTAAAATACCACAGGGCCTCCCTGGTGGCCTAGGGATTAAGTTTCAGCCCTATCAAGCTATCCCCGGCCACTGTGGCCTGAGTTCAATCCCTGGCCAGGGAGCTAACCCACATGGCGCAGCAGACCTCTCCTATCTCATCTACTGTTCCCTTAGGAGTGTATTTCAGTAGATCTGCCTGTTCTGCTCCCCACTATCTCTAGTGAATCCTCTCACACACACCCCCACCTCTGGCCTACACCCCAGTTCTTGTATGCATAAACAAAAATAAATCTTAAAAAATAATAATAATAAAAATAAAATACCAAACAGGTCTGAGACTTAGAAGTTCATAGCAGTAGCCTCAAGGAAGGAACTTAAAAATGAGTAGGTTGACAAAGGTGCCAATACCATTCAATGATGACAAACCACCTTTTTTTAAACAAATGTTCCTGGGACAACTGGATAGCCACAGGCAAAAGAGTGAAGTTCATTCAACTCTTATCTTATACCATCTATAATAATTAACTCAAAAATGCGTGAAAGTTCTAAATGTAAGAGCCAAAACCATAAAATTCATGGAAGAAAATATGGAGTTAAATCTTCATGACCTTTAGTGATGGATTCTTAGGACACCAAAAGCACATTCAATAAGAGAAAAAATACATAAATTGGATTTCATCAAAATTAAAAAAACTTTGTGTTTCCAAGATATTTTCTCCCAAGATCTACAAATTACCAGTAAGCCCAGGAAAAGATGCTGGATATCATTAATTGTCAGGGAAATCAAAGTTAAAACCACAAATAGCTACTATATCATGCCCACGAGGATGGATCAAAAAGTCAAATAACAAAAGCATTTTGTTAAGGATGTGAAGATAACAGAACCCCTTTATGCACTAAAAATGAGAATGTAAAATGATGAGCTACTTTGGAAAACTGTCTGACAGTTCCTCAAATGACACATTAAGAGTTCCTACAGGACTCAGCAATTCATTTCATTGGTGTAAGAGAAAGGAAAACGTGTCACACAAAAACCGGTACATTAATATGCATAGCAGCATTATTCATAATAGACAAAATGTGGATATAATCCAAATATCCATCAGCTGATAAATGGATAAATAACAATGGTCTATACCATGGCATGTTAAGTCATTTAAAAAAATGTACTGATTCATGCTAACACATGAACGAACTTTGAAAACATGTTCAGTGGAAGAAGCCATCATAAAATACCACATATTGTATGACTCTATTCAACAAAATGTCCAGAATAGGAGATCATAATAATGGCCAATGTTGGCCCAAATATGCAAATAATCCAAATGAGAGGTTAGTAGGAATCCAAGCTATAGATCAAATAATTAAAAATTTGAAAAATGAAGTCACATTAAGAAAGTATCTGTTATGCTTACTTTGGCAGCACTTTTACAAAAATTGGAATGATACAGAGACCATTAGCATCTGCATATAAGGGTGACATGCAAATTCAGCAATCATTCCACATTTTTTAAAAAATCAATTAAATGACAGAAAAGAAATTAAGAATATACATTGGAGGGGCCTCCCCGGTGGCGCGGCGGTTGAGCGCTGGGTTGCGAAGCTGCCCTCACGGCCTCTACAGCACCAGATCGATCCCCGGCTGCTCCCCGACCACGGGAGGAGGGTCCCACATGGCGCGCAGACCTCTCCTGCCGCCCGCTGCTCCCCTCAGCAGTGTGCTTAGGTCCTTCTGCCTGCTCTGCTCCCCGCTCTGGCTCTGGTGAATTCTCTCACTCTCCCGCGCTTCTGACTGTACCCAATGCTTGCATAAATAAATAAGTAAATCTTTTTAAAAAATTATAAAAAAAAAAGAATATACATTGGAGAAAGTATGCTCTCTTCAACAAATGGTGTTGGGAAAACTAAACAACCACAAAAGAAAAAAGCTAGATTATTTTACACCATACACAAAAATTAGATCAAAATGGATTAAAAACTTTAACGTAAGACATGAAACCATAAACTCTTCAAAGAAAATCTAAGTGGTATCAGCCTTGGTAAACTTTTGGACCTGATTCCCCAAACAAAGGCAACAAAAGCAAAAATAAGTGGGACACATCAAACTAAAATCTTCTACACAGCAAAAGAAATCATCAACAAAATGAAAATACAACCTACTGAATGGGAGGAAATATTTGTATATCATATCTCTAATAAGAGGTTAAAACCCAAAATATATAAAGAGCTCATCAAACTTAATAGGGGGAAAATCCAATTAAAAATATGCAGAGATTTGAAAAGACATTTTTCAAAGAAGACGTACAGATGACCAACAGGTACAAAGTGCCCAACTTCACTAATCATCAGGGAAATGCAAGTTAAAACCACAATGAGATATAATCTCACGTCTGTTAGAACAGCTATAATCAAAAACACAAGGTCCAGTGCGCAATGATTACAAACAGCAGCCTCCTTGGGAGTGTAAGCAGCTTGTTGCTTTGTGAGTTGCCCTAAGGGACCTTGTAGACAGTCCTTTCTGATGGACATCCATGTCTAATCTCATGATATGCCCACTACCACACTCCAGACAGGGTTACCGTTGGAAGTCCCAGAGCATGGTACACAATGGTCAAGTCATCGTGTCCATTCCCAGCAAGCTGCAGAACAAGAAGCATGTGACTGAGGTACTATACAGGCTGGCCACCAGGATATTCACAGCTCCAAGAAATGGGGCTCTACCAAATTTAATGTGGATGAATTTGAAGATATGATTGCTGAAAAGTGGCTCAACATAGATGGTCAGATACATCCTTCATTGTACAATTGTCCCCTGGACAAATGTAGGCCCTGCCCTCATGAAAGTCTCAGAGCTACCCCCTCCTTAGTCATGTTCACCAATAAATCCCGCTTCCTTTCAAAACAAACAAACAAACAAACAAAAGACAAGAAATAGCCAGTATTGGGAAGGGTGTGCAGAAAAGGGGATCTTCATGCAATATGGAAAACAGTATGGCAGTTCCCGAAAAAATAAAATTAGAATTACTATATAATGAAATCTTGACATTTGTGACATGAGTGGACCTTGAAAGGATGATACTAAGCAAAGTAAGTTAGACAGAAAAGGTAATTTTAGGTGATTTTATTATACAAAGTGTTTTTAAAAATGAACAAACAAAATAAAATTTTATGAAAAAACAAAATGGAATTAGCCAGTGGGGAGTGGGCTTGGGGTGTGGGCAAAACAAATGATGGGGGTCAACAGGTACAAACTTCCAGTTACAAAATGCTAAGTCATGGGCATGTAATGTACAGCATGACTACAGTCAATAATATCGTAGCACATACTTGAAAGTTGCCAGGAGAGTAAATCCTAAAAATAAACTTTGTATGATGATGGAGCGGGACAACTAGATTTACTGGGTGATCATTTCACAATGTATACACATATCAAGTCATTATACTGTAAACATGAAATCAATATGTTATTTATTAATTATATGGCAGTAAGAAAAGATTTTTTTAAAAAAAGATATCCTCAACTTGGGGATAGGGAGGGGTACAGAAGGAGATAAATTCCAGGGGGGAAAAAAGGCAAAATACTATACAAGAACCATGATTTAGATATGAAGTAAACTGAAATGTGGTATGATTTCAAGCAACTGATGAAGTATAAAAAAAGGAAAAATATTTGACTTCCTCTTCAATAATATAGGGGTCTGCAATACTGGAAACAACAGGGAATAAACAAACTCACAGTACATTACATAGCTGTGCAGAGTGTTAACAGTCCTTCAATTAATGATACTGATTTTCAATCCTTAAAAATAAACAAAGTGAGCATAATTCCTTCTAGCTCCATCCATGTTGCTGCAAATGGCATGAGTTTATCTTTTTTGATTGCTGAATGATATTCCATTGTGTATATATACCACATCTTCTTGATCCAGTCATCTATTTTTGGGCATTTGGGTTATTTCCAGGTTTTACCTATTGTAAATAGTGCTGCAATAAACACAGGGGTACAGGTATTCTTTTAAATAAATGTTTTTGTGTCCTTTGGGTAGATTCCTAGGAGTGGAACTGCTGGGTTATATGGTAGCTCCATTTTTAGTAGACTGAGGAACTTCCAGACAGCTTTCCATAGTGGTTGGACCAGTTTGCACTCCCACCAGCAATGTGGAGAGTTCCTTTTTCTTCACATCCTCACCAACATTTGTTGTTGCTAGTTTTTTTGATATGTGCCCTTCTTACTTGTGGGGAGGGAGAGGGATCAGAGGGAAGGAGGGAGGAAGGAGCACAGGGGACTGAGGTGATGGTGCATGGGTAAATTGGTGAAAGAAATTCTATGGGAACTATACCTGAAGGTGTAGGGAAGCAAACATTGTTTGAAAATGAACAATGATGTAAAAAATATATATAAATAAAAATAAAATCAAATAAAAAATAAAATTAGATTTTTTCAGACCAAAAAAAATGAACAAAGGGCAGGGGGGAGGTCTCCCTGGTTGCCTAGGGGTTAAGTCTCTGTGCTATCACTACTACAGCCTGACTTTGATCCCTGGCCAGGGAGCTAACCCATGTGGGTTAGCTCTCCTGTCTCGCCCACTGCTCCCCTCAGCAGTGTATTTCAGTCAGTCTGCCTGTTGTGCTCCCCACTCTGTCTCTGGTGAATCCTCACTCCACACACCTCTTGCCGACACCCTAGTTCTTGCATTAAAAATACATATTTAAAAATAAATAAATAACCACAGGAAAAAAATCCCTGGTGTCGCAAGGGGTTAAGGTGCAACCTACAAAGCTATCCGAAGCCACTGCAGCACGAGTTCAATCCCCAGCGAGGGAGCTACCCACATGGCATAGGAGACCTCTCCTGACTTTCCCACTGCTCCCCTCAGCAGTATATTTCAGTCAATCCGCCTGTTCTGTTCCCCACTCTGTCTCTGGTGAATCCTCTCACCCCCCACCCACACTTCTGGCCTGTACCCAAGTTCTTCTATGCATAAATAAATAAATCTTTAAAAATAAACGAACAAACTGCATAAGAGTTACAGCTTGGAACAAAATGTAAGTGTTATTGACCTCAACAATATAATAAATTGTTAAGTAAATTGGGAAAAAATAAAGGGAGAACTCACTGGAATTTTTTACAAAGTGGAGAGTTTAAGAGGTTGTGTCAATTTATAAAATACAGAACAAGAAATTGAGGTTAAAGTATATTACTCAAATTTACAAAGGCAATCCCAAAAGAGGAACCAAAAATTATGATAAAACTATATGGCCTCCCTGGTGGTGCAAGGGGTTAAGACACAACCTATGAAGCTAGCTGCAGCCACTGCAACATGAGTTCTATCCCTGGGCTGGGAGCTACCCACATGGTGCAGCAGACCTCTCCTGACTTGCCCACTGCTCCCCTCAGCAGTGTATTTCAGTACATCTGCCTGTTTTGTTCCCCACTCTGTCTCTGGTGAATCCTCTCACTCCCAACAACTCTGTATAAATAAATAAATCTTAAAAAAAAAAAAAAACTATATGGAGGGAAGGGAGTTGCAGTTTATCTACTTAGCAGATCAGCAGATGATGGTTAAAGTGGATAAAATGAGGCAGCTCTCACCTCCCAAGACTGCCCACCCATGTCTATGCAGGCATGTCTTTTAACAAATTTTTCCCTTTCAAAAACAGCAGCAGCAGCAGCAATGGCTCTCTGCCCACCTGTGTCTTTGCAGGTGCCTCTTTTTCTCCTTTCTCCTTTTCTTAATAAACCTGTCCCCTTAAAATGTAAGCTAATAATAGTAATAATAATAATAATAAAGTGGGTAAGATGAGGAAAAAAGTTTAAGCATGTGATTTAGAGACATGAAGATAATCACCAAGAATCAAATAGGTGGACCGCCCTGGCGCAGGGGTTATGTCTCGCGATATCAAGTTATCAAGCTATTGCCAGCTACTGCCGCCTGAGTTCATCCCCCCCCCCACGGAGCTGACCCACATGGTGCAGCAGACCTCTCCTGTCTTACCTGCTGCTTCCCTCAGCAGTGTATTGAGTAGATCTGCCTGTTCTGCTCCCCACTCTGTCTTTGGTAAATCCTCTCACCCCCCCTCACCTCTGACCTGTACTCCAGCTCTTGTATGCATAAATGAAAATAAACCTTTAAAAAAAAGAATCAAAAAGATATTGAAAAGTGTTTCACTCCAGGTAACAAGCTTGGAGTAGGGGAGACAGAGCAAGTGATTCCTATTTTTCATTATAAGCCCTCTACTATTTTATCTTCTAACTATGCATGTATATTACTTGACTAAAGGTTAATCTTTTTAATTATCCTGGCCTAGTATCACAGACAATATGCACCTATGTAGATGTATATATAATGTATATATGTATACACACACACACACACACCCCTCTAATTAGCAAGATGTAAGATGTGCCAGAGCCTCTTTTTCTTCACAGTGGTAGAATTTTAATTGGGGACATTTTCTAGCCTTCCTGTAGTTAGTGTACCCTTACAATTAAGTTCTTGTCAATGGAACA